GCGGTTGGCTCATCAGAGCAGTAAGGGAGGTGGGTTCTGAGCCGATGTCCCCTTTCACTGGCTGTGTAACCGGATTTCGTCGAAAATATCAATTAAGCTTAAGCCGAGGAGCAGCAGGACTAGGCAAGTTTCGATGAGGATTTCGTTGACGCGCAAAATATGACGAGTTGCCAGCAGGCTGGCCACCTGCTGGTCGTCCAGCGCATCGTTTTAAGCTTGTCTCCAGGTCAGCTCCAAACTATGTTCCGCAGTATCGGGAGCCCCCATGTCATTAAGCCAAGGTTCAGCAGTAAGCAAAAGAGTTGTTGAAGGAGCACGAAGTGAAGAAATCGACCAGTGCCTTTGGCAACACCCGATGTTGATGTCGGAAAGGGACGGAAGGTGGCACATAAACCTATACCTAAAGCCCTTTAAGATTAATGTGAAGTGAAGCTTCCCGACGTCTCAGATTGACAAACTACCTGCCAAGTACACGCTTTGGCAGTCTACTTGGCATTTGACTTCATGGAACTCTCCTTACAAATCTTTTACTTAGCCTTTTGGCAATCATTAGGCGGCGTTCCATCTTTGCCCTCAAACAGAAAAGTTTGCTTGTATGCCGTTTGGACTTGTTACTAACATAGCAGAACTGAAGTGGCAAGCCGACCAAACGTTTAATGAGTCTATCAAAAAAGCTGTATGGCTGCCTTCGTGGAGGACGCCTTAGTCTGTACCTTACACATTCAGGAGCACCTGCAGCACTCACGGCTCGCGTTTGAGCTGTAGCCCAACAAGCACTGGTATGTGAGGCTGGTTTTTGTGGGAATAGTGCTGTTCTGGGATTCCGTGCTTTAGCTGCTACAATTGAGGCAGCTCTGGCCAAAATTGAAGCATTGAAGGCATGGCTTTAACTTCTACGCACCCGCAAGGACTGTACAATGTTCTATGGCTTGTATGTAGTCAACGAAGACTCGTCCGTGAACTTGCTCGGATTCCTGTTCCTTTGACTGATCCACTTGAGAAACGCAATCTGTGACCAGAAATGAGGAAGCTGATGCCACAGAACGGCACTTTACAACTTTTCAGTGCTTGCGCTCTATAATTTGGGGCGCCATATCCATAACAATAGTGCTAGTGTTGTAGCGGTGTGTATTCTTTCCTCTCAACTGGCTACGGGTTCTCCAAAACAACAAGATCTTGCTTGTCATTCTCATCGCTTCAGCAAAAACGAACGGCGACATTCAGGCAGGGAAACGAATCATATGCAGTGTCGTGAAGCATGAAAATGCCGGCCTTGTATACACGGCCGCCACTTGACTTCCCGTATAGAGGCCAATTCTTAATGTAAGCCACAAAGTGATTGTAAAATCTTGATAGCTCAAAACACTTCGTTGGCTCAAGCGCCTCCTGCAGTATAACCTCACACTGAAGTATAGCAAGGACATTATCCACGGGGTCGCCTACGCGCTCACGGAACGCCCCACCAATTCACTGTTGTGCGACGCAGCCCTATTGCCTGTGGATTTTCGCGGCTTCTATCAGAATTGCGGGGTTCAATGCTGTTGACATCCAGGCACACGCTATTATTATCAAATCCAGAACAGCGACAGGGTGAAGCAATGACATTTTGAGGGTGGTCTGTTGCCGTCCAAAACAAATTCTTTTTCCCGTCGCCTGTGTATTCTCATTGCATTTAACAGACCCACTTTGCGCACAGCACACTCTCAAGTGGTTTTCCGGCCGTGCTGGGATCCATTCTAGAGTGAAAAGGCTCTCATGGCCCTTTTGATAGCATTAGACGCGCCCTGCGACAGACGAGTATGCGCTCACATGCCGAGATTGTTAGCAGCTTCAAGCCGTCCAGTTCTTCTAAGCCCGGTCTATTGCAGAATCTTCCAGTTCATGAGAGGATTTTGACTGCCTTGACTGTACAGTACATCGTTGGACTGCCGCAGGCTCAGCGTCAGCATAGCACCCGTGTCATTATGGAAAGGTCCAGCAAATATGCCCACTTTTTCTTTTCTTTAGCTCTGTCCTCACTTCTCACAAAGTTGCTTAACTATTCTAAAATCATTTTTGGAAGCTTTGCGGAAACCCCAGGAACATCACTTCGCTAGGAGTGCGAAACTCGCTAGTACCTTTTTGCGTGCCTTTATGACCTTCTCCTACATCGATCGTAATGTGGCCACCGCGAATGACACTGCGGCAGACAAACAGAAAGAACGTACTCCCGCACGCTTCTGAACTATTTGTAAAACTATGTCTATAAGCATCGAATCGCTCAGCTTTATTTCTTCCTTGCGCTCAGTGAGTTTATATTGATTGTATTGACGTGTTTATATGCTGCTCTTCCGCATCTCTGATCTTCGATTCGGAGCCTCCCTTCAATTCGGGCTTAGACCTGGTGGTCCGGGGCCAACAGCCATTAGTAGCAGCGGAAGGGTTTAGAGGACAGGTGGCTAGTGCACTAAAAATATGGATGCAAAGCTGAGTAGAGAGAGGGGCGGAATTGTGAGAAGTAGGCTCTTGACTGTATGTTTCAAGCCTGGAGAGTTGGTCCCAGTAGATATTTGGGCTTTTCAAGATGGACTGTAGGGTGACCACGCGAGGCAGTTCGTGGCCAGTAGCTAAGGCCATTTGCCATCCTCTCACGGATGAACGCCTTCACCAGCTCTCCTGATTTGCTTGAAAGTTGGAGATGTCCAAGAGAAACCAACATTGGCTTCCTTAAAAGTTCGAGCCGCTCAGAAGTTTTTGCGGTATGAGCCCCGCACGCAAATAACGTGCGTAGGCAGTAGATCCACAGGGAGCGGTAGAAGTGCTCTGTTTTAAGACTCTTCAGCAGCGAGGGTGTACTGGGCGAGCGTTTCTAGGAAAACAGGGGCGGCACAGAGGCGAAGAGAGAAAATAAAAGGGGGTAAGGTATACTTTTGTAGTCCCAACTGCAACAATTATATTTAATGGATAATTCTCAGGGAATCGACTACTTGTTTTGTCTGTCCATAACTCATATCAATCACAGAGTATTGCTGTTATGACACAGAGAGTTGCATTGTTATGGAAGTGTACTACAGATGTTACGGGAGATCAGCTGTGGATGCTTGAGTGCTTAAAGCATGTAGCTAGGCGCACACTCCTGTCCCTCTTTCCTCATGTTAAGTACAGTGGGGGCTGCGGCCGGTGAACGAAGGGATTCCTTTAAAAGAAATCTATAACTTTATATTAAGCTTGTACTGACTGAGGAGACATGTGTCTTTCTACGGTGGCTTTGGATCAAGCATCTCAGGTCAGGTTAATCATTGCAGACCCCTGAGGAGAACGAGGCAGCGAATAAGAACTTCAATTCGGTAAAGGCTGAATGCACCCTAGCGGGGTATAAAGTGTTTTAGAAGCTATCAGCCCCCTTAGAGACCTTCAACAATGTAGAGCAGCGGAGGTCATGTGCTCCTCGAGCCAGTGCACATAACAGGGTGTCCTGCCTGACGGCTACTACGTGACATCCTGGCTGCCAGTGAGCTTCCTAGTGGTGAATTAGTGGCGAGCTCTGGGGCAGCCATAAAGTACCAGTGGTTAACCACTGGCTAGCTAAAAGTCAGCCACTCGCTCACCACCGCTATTTTGGTCGCATGCGTCTTGAGTTTGTATCCAGAGACTGACACTATACCGTCAGTCGAGCGCCGTCTTTGGTTCCACAGTAAGAGCAACATAGTGACGTCTGGTTGTACCAATGGTTGTCTACCGTTCTGTAGCAGAAACGAGTTCCAGTATAGATATAGGCTTTGGATAGGGCCATTTTGCCCTTTAGAGCAGCACACTACTGTTGCAAATACTTTCTAAAGAGTTGGGTCAGATTGAAGGCTTCTGTTATCCAACATAGTGATGCTCTCTGTCTACCCTTCTGGCATTTGTACCTGTCCTCCGCCAGCGTTGCTGTGCGCATGAATGGACCTTCGCCGGGCATGGCGCCTCTTAGAGAACCTTGCAGAAAAGTTTACAGCAGCTAAAAAAACTCTTGTAATGTGACTTGTGACTAGGTATCAGTTGCTGGTAAATACGGCTTCAATGCAGTGCAGTGGCACCCTGGGGCTGGCTCGAGTGGGCAAGGAGCAGCACAGCACTCACTGCATAGGAGTTTGGCCTTGAGGGGCTAACCGAGGGATCTATCGTGCACTTTTCTACAGCCATTGACTGCAGAATCATGATTCCTGCATCGTTTGGTGTTATCGATCGTTGGCTGCCCTAGAAGCACGCCTCGACCCGCGGGTTGCCCCACGGCTCAACGAGGACCAGCAGCAACTGCAACAACAGGGCCCGCCTGGTGTGAACATGAGCGATGTCACCCTCTCTGCGTTGTTCTTCGCTTTTTCCATTGCTCCTTGAGGCTGATGCTGCAGGCTGAGTGTCACGGCCTCTCTTTCCGTAGCCATTTCCTCTCGTACCGATCCACTCACCACCAGCTGACTGGCAGTTCTAAGGTGTTTCAGCCGGAGGGGTATCAACCCCCTAAAGATGCAGCAAATTCTCCTTAGCTCGGAGGGTCCCGTCCCCAGTCAAGGCCCCCGTCCAGGCCGTCCCTGCGCGACTGCCCTCCCGCTGTGTATCCCGGGCTTTAACACTGCAGGGATGACACAAGAGGCAGCAGCTCTCAGGCCGCCACTAGAAGGCACGTCCTGCGATGTTTCTCCATGCTCTGTCAAGAATATAACACAGGTTCTCCATAGCCCCCATGGGCTCGGCTCCAAGGATAAGACCATTAGTACGTTGCGTAGAGTGACAGTATTTTTCCTCATGGCCTTTTCATCAAAAACCTTGCGTATCTGTACCTGTGAACATCCCATGCCCCATCTACAGCTGCCCTGAAATTCGGGCTGAGGGCGTCGCCTTGTGCTCCAATATGATTCCGTTTTTTCTCAGGATCTTTGCAGCCGCACGAACCGGTCTTGCATGATGACTGCCTAACGCCCCTTGTATCGAGGCAGGGGATCTGGGGCTGTCAGAAAGGAGAGACTGGCAAGGAGGATATGCTCAAGTCTGAAGCATGCGAGATAAAATCTGAGCGATCTTCTGCGACTTCAGCACCCTCCGGGGCAGTTAGCACCTTGCCCGGCAGTGCCAAGCTTTCCGTAGGGGAGAGCAACGGGATTGAATACGGCACCCACGCGGGGGAGGATGCATTTCCTCCGCCGTTTTCATCTACTTGTAAAGAGGAGAGCCCGTGCGTCTCTGTTCCAGCCTTAGTCTCCGCCCCGACAGTGGACTCGTTGCATGCGGAGATCCAGAGTCTCGAGCTTTTAACGCACCTCCGCACAGCTGCCAGGCGCTGGGCTCTTTACCACGACAATTTCTTCTTCCATTGGGATAGACTATGCTTCGAATGGAAGGTTAGAAGGAAACGCCAAGCCGCTACGGGGGTTCAGGAAGATTCCCAGTCCACCCCTTGTGAGCCCGGAGTAGTGAAAAATCGGGATAGTCTAGATCAGCAGGAAGAGAAGCGCGGCGAGAATTTTCAGGATTCAGTCGACATCTTCTGGTACGCGCGCCGTAGGGCTGTCAAGGAGCCTGTGCCTCTAGGCCGTCAACAGTCGCCATGGCTATGTCATTAGTGCATTTGTCGCTTTATGAAGCTTTCTCGTTGCTTGAGGGCCTGCACGCTGCCTGCGGGCCTTCTCCGCCTTTGACCCCGTGGTGTTTTCCCTTGAGGCACTTTCTTCACGATGATCCGGCTCGGTTGTAGAGAGCTGCATGCGTTGTACTTCCAGGCCATGCCCGGCGTATTTGTGTGTTGCGCCGCAGCGCCGCACTGCCCAGGTTCAGGGGAGCCGTATGTCTCAGTTCTGGGGGCCCCCAGAGCCAATGTTTGTCGGTGCTGTTGCAGCAACTGGACGCGCGTAGGCGATGTCTCGACCCTGCGTATTTGCCCTTCAATCGCTATCTCTCCATCCCGACGGTGACCCCCTTTTCTCTATCGCGCACACGCTCGCTTTCCCGCCAAGACTCCTGGAGGACGTTTTCTATTGAGGCTTTTTCTTCCCCGGAGCTTGACTCTCACTGCAACTCCTCCTTGTCGGGTGCCATCGGAGGATGTGGGGGCCAAGGGGGCTTGAAAGGGTCTCCTCGTTCCCAGGAGCACCAGGCCTTTCAAAATCCCCAGGCATCGCCTTGGACTTCCGACGCGTTGGGAAGCAGTAAAACCAGTAGTGAGGGGTTTAAGGAGGCGCATCTAGACAAGAGTCTACCTCATCCACATGATTCCCTGCCTCTTTCGGCGTCTCCAGCTGCGGCCGCCGCTACGAAGGCCTTGCGCGCTGCTGCCTCCGCCTTGTCAAACTCTAGGTGGTGCGCTCCGAACTGTTCGAAGGTCCGTGATGGCCCCTGCAGCTGCACTTCGTGCGGCGAAGAGGAGGGAAAGGAGGCTCACTGTGGGCTATCCAGCTCACTCCAGCAGGAAGTATCAAGGGACCTCTTTCGAGGGCCTTTTTGCGGCAGACCCGCCAGCCGAAGCAAACACGGTGCGGATGTCACCCCGTTAGAGGGCCTGCAGAGTCGCATCGTCTGCGGGTGGTGCGACAGGTGCAGCAGCAGCAGCGGAAAACGCAGCAGTAGCATTGGCAGCATCATCAGTAACAGCAGCAGCGGCGGGCCAAATGGGGGGGACAGGGTTTGTTACCTTCGGCAGCCGCGCCCTAAAATCCTGAAGAATTCTACTGGAGAGAGTCAAAGAACAGTGGGGTTTACGGGAGGGTGCCCGGCAAACCACTTTCTCGCGTCAGGCAGCCTGCTGGGCCCAGTCCTCTTAGACACGGGGGGCCACTCCCGCCCTTCCCACCACACGTTTATGAACGGCGCCTCTACTCCAGGGAGCTCTCCTGGTGTGGGAGCTCCCGCTGATGCGGGCCCCGCTGATGCGGTCACGTTTCAACGTCGGTCTAACGATGGCTCGATGCCTTCACAGAAGAAGGAGGAAGAAGCTGAGGTAGGGGATCTAGTGCGGGGAATCTACGGGGGGAGTTAATTGCCCAGCGGCAAGTCAAAGGATTTCAAGGGTCGGGCTCCTGTTAAGTGGCGTCGAGAGGGCCCCCATGGTTCCTTTAATTCCTTAGGCCCTCTTGGTGAGGACTCCTGGAGTTCCTCCTCCAGCTCCAGGTATTTCTATGCTGAGGTGCGCTTGCAGGAGGACAGTCACAAAAGAAAACCCGGGACCGCTACGTGTCCCTCAGATGAACAGTCCACCCTGAAGCCCCTGAACTACCATCAGCAGCAACAACCGATGCAGCAGCAGCAGCACCTGCAGCAGGGATCTGACCCCTCCTCCTATATATCATCTGTAACGGCGAGTTCTCAGAACCCAGGAGGCCTCCTCTGTGACCCTGCTTATTCCGATGCGGCCCTAGAACCTCCCATGTCGTTGAATGAAGTGAGCATTTCGCCTTATGACGAAGACCTGGATACTTCAAATCCGAGCACCTCATTGAAGCATAAATACGAAGGCCTGTATAAGCCGAATGAGCAGCAGCAGTATCAGCAACAGCAACAGCCTCATGCTGCGCATGAGGGAGACACCCGAAAAGCCTGGGAAGGCCGCAAGCTGCTTGCAACAGAACATGGCGCTCAGAGCCCAAGCTGCTGGCGGGGTACCCCAGGGGTTCCGCGGACAGAGGACCGCAGCTCCCATGCGGAGGGCTTTTGTGTTGAAGAGGCTACACACGGCAGTGCAAGCGAAGAGGTGCTGCCTTTCCCTCAGCAGCACAGCGCTTCTGGGTTCTCGGGGGTAAGTACAGGCGTTTGCCCATCCATCTGCCGTTTTTGTTTGGCAGCTTGCCGAGCTCTCTGGGTGTGCTTCTGTCCGCCATGTACCGGTGCCCTCGACACTGTGTTGTTCTTTGTGCTGCCCTTCACACTGTGTGCTTTTCTTCTGTACGGTTTGCCGTATTTATATGCACTGTGTGTTTCGGCCTACATCCTAATTGTGCCCCTCCGCTAAAGCCTGTTGGTCTTCTATGTGCCGCGCTGCCTGCCCGTCTCTTTGCTACTATGTGCTGTGCTGTCTCACTTCTATTTTATGTTATGCGTTTGCAGTCCATGGTGGTCGATTCTACAGAGGCGGAGCAACTGGCCACCTATATCCCCTCTTCTGCCCCCTCCTCTTTGGTTAGGTGCAACGTTGGAGGAGAGGGCGCCGCACCAAAGGCAGTGCGGAAGTCGAGCCATATTGTTGTTGAGGACGCGGGGATGCGTCTGTCCTTTGTAGCCAGAAAGGGAGTGTACTACGACAAGCGGCGCAGACTCTGGAGGGCGAACTGGAAGGAAAATGGGCGCATTCACACGAAGGGATTCTCAGTCCATGGTCAGCACTTTTATGCCTCCCTATTCGTCATCTCCTCTACCATTGGGTCCTTGCTTTCTTAAAGCTTTTTCTGAATTGAAAGGCGGCCGGCAAAATTTCCATGGCTATGAGGCCCTTCCCTTTCCCTGGGTATTTACGGGACAGCTTACCAAATCCCGTCTAAGAGGACTACAGTTCTGTCAGCTTTTGCTTTTTGTCGGAGATATGAGATTCTTCTGCTTACAAGGGCGAGTTGTTCTTAGCTGCGTGCGATACGTATACATGTTTGGAGTATGTGTGCTACTCGTTTTGCGCTGATGTAGATTACCTGAGCCATGAAGCAGCTCGACAAAAGGCAATAGAGTTTCGAGAGAGGAAGGAACAAGAGATTGAACTCTACCAGCAAATTAGGAGCCCGAGAACATTTACAGACGAGGACTGGAATTTCAAGCCGCAGACGCAGAGAGCCCCCAGCCCTATGCCACTTCCCCAATAAAACCAGCTTTTGTGGACGGTGCGCATATCTCGGAGTACCCCATGGACATGGTCCTTGTCGCCTCTTATGATTTTCATGACAGGGGTTGTCACGGCTTCATGTGCCCCAGGGCAGGTATCATCTGCCGGTGCGTTGAAGAGGGGAGACGAGGGGACTAGATGATAGGTGGTATGGCGGTGGTGTGGGGCCAGAGCTAATCAGGGGCCTTGTGACGTTTGCTGCATCAGTTTTCGAGTCGTGGTGTAAAAGTGCCTTCTTCAGTAACTTTTGGGATTTAGGAAGGGCCGCTCCCACCCTAAAAGGCTCTACAGAGTTTCCTCAATATTCGGCTTCGGTTTTCGGAAGGCGAAGGGATGTAGCAGCAACATACGCACAGCAGCACGTTACATATGGAGCAGCTGGAACAAAGGCGGTGACAGCATCAGAAGGAAGTTTCTGGATTGTCGTTGCTTATTGTGCGTTGTATGACGAGTCGTCACTAAGGCCCTCAATGGCGGCTGCTTAGTTCTTTTGGTTTCCCGCTGCGCGTGGTTGATTGCTTGACGCTCATGTGTCAGTCTCCTGTCACATACGCTTGTTACAGAGTGCAGGGCAGCAGAGCGGCGCAATATTGCATGCATCCAACCCCAGTAGACAAGTGGTCACTATAGGAAGATGCAGGCGCAGAGGACGTTGAAAGAACTCGCAGCCTGTCTTTCTCAGGGTCCCAGGATACAACAGACAGTCTCCTTTTGTTTCCCCGGGACACGCAGAGGCACATCTATTTGAATGCTTGAGCCACTAATTCGCGCGTAGGCTGACTGCTTTCATTGAGAGCACCTTATGGCATTGAAAACGGACGGTACTCCTCCCGAGGCCGTCATTATCTATTTTGTGAAACTGTATTTTCGTTTTAAACGGTAAAACAATTACTTGTATGTGATACATATATCATGTTATTCAAGAGTAGAGCACTGCAGACATCCAAGCCTTTGCATGGGCTCGACCAAATTCGCAAATTTTCATGTCCACAGGCAGGAAGCAGGGCATGTGGAGCAGAATATGATTGTGATTATAAGTAAGCATCAGCGAGTGGCGCTTGGATAGCTGAGCAGCGAATATAGTGCACGCACTAGTGTTGCGGGCTAAGTTAGACTTAACACCCTATACTTAAAATTTTGCTACACAAATAGTAAGATTTTGCCAAGATCTCGTAGAAAAAGGCAAATTGGAGTGCCTTTTCATATATCTCATTTATTGCAGAGTACAATTTTCTCGACACAAGGAGACGCGATGTTGTGTGCGTGTGCGGTAGACACCATGTACAACTAGCTAGTTGCAATGCACAACTAGTTGGGATTGCTTATAGTGCTCAAAATATATGAGTATGCGCATCCTAGCAGCCCCTATTTCCTCATGTAGAGAAAAATAAGGGCCGCGGTTACCGAAACGAACGAATTTTTCAAGGAAAAACGCAGCAATCTTCTAATTTGTTTGTGTTGAGTCTGGGTATATCTCTCCCTACGGAGACCTTGGATAACGCGTTACACCTCTTCCGCGTCACTTCAAGAATTTGGTGTCGCGCGGCTGCGATAGGCATAGGAAATTGAATCAAGCACTAGGTTGAGGCTCATATAGTACTGAACCAAAGCTACTCTCAGTGTTTAAGGCCTTTCCCCTTTCGAGCCGTGTCTCGATATGCTGGTTGCGCGGCCCACTACCAAGTACCGAAGATAAAACCTGTAGTCTGCTGCAGCGCAAAAGTATCCTGACTTGGTGTGATATGTGGGAAGTTCCAGGTGGGCTAGCCAATTAATGTGGGCGTGAAGGTTTGTGTTGCTTTGATGGATGCACTAGAAGAAGGAATGTAAAAGGCCTAGATTAGTGCCCTCCTGCCTTTTCAGGAATTCTTATGGTCAAGCTTAGCGTGTGTGGAAGTTTTGCCACCGGCGTCATCCCTTCGCTATGGAAGGGTTGGGCTGAACGCCTCGGGTGTCCTGAAGGAGGATCGGGACTACATGAGAAGAGTTAGCACAGGGGCTTTCTCGCTTCTTCCCTGCGTCAATAGCCCTGTTAGTGCTTTTAATAGTATTAAAAGCGTCTCTTAGCATTAAGCAGCATGATTTCAGAGCTGCAGTGCATTCGCAGCGACCCCAACGCGATGTGACCAACCGCCATAGGAGATGGGGGGTGGTACAGGGGGGGCTCAGAAGGGACTTCTGAAGGAGTTTGGGGCTGCTGCAGCGGCGTTTTCTTTCAGCGCATTTTGTTGCTCGTATAAGCACTCACCTTTAAGCCGTTGTTGCGAGAAAAGTTCCCCTCTTCCTCCCGATCAGCATCATCACGCCGCCATCAGCACCACCCTAGTCGGCGACCCGGTTGGGGGCTCTAAAGGGGTAGCAAGCGTCCCACAGAAACTGCAGAGTGCTGCACACGCTTTCCTTTTCCCGTTTCTCCTTTCTGCTGGCAGCACTTCTGATAGCAGCTCTTCCCGCAGAGTCGGACTGGGAGGCCTCGAGCGCCGCCTTCCCACCTACGGCCATCTGACCCGTAAGGAAGAACACAGACACAAGTGGTCATCGTCTTCACCATAGGAGGTATCCGGGTTCCTGAGTGCCCCGTCAGCCGCGGGCTGTGATGCAGGGAGGGGCAGCGACTGCGAGCGTTTCCGCAGCTTGCTCCCCCGCTGTTTCTGGAGATGTCTACCGCTTCCAAGGGAGGGGCTCTCTCGGCCCTGGAGAAGATACGGAAGCAGCGCAGAGGCGAGGCTAAGGCCACGGAACAGTACGAGGTGAGAGGCACTCAATTCCTCCGAGTTTTCACGTGGACTGCAGCTCCTTGGGAGGCTGAGTCGGTCCCGAGCACCCGTCTGCGCTGCGTGGCTACGTGCTGCGCACACGGCGGAAGGAAGGAAGGGCCGGTCGGAATATCGGGTATGCCAGGAGCCTTAGCATGCTTGGCAATGCTCATTGTGTTGGCGATAGGTGCGAGACGAGAACGCCGAGATCTTTGCCACAGTTTCTGCCCAGGAATACGCGGAGCTGAAACAGAGCAGACGAGCAGGCAACTGGATCGAGGGAGATGACGGTAAGAGGGCCCCCTGGGATTCGCTGCCGCAGTGTCTTCTGTGCGTCGGGTCGGTCGGTAAGCACCGTGGGGATTCAGTTGTACGGCTCCGTTTTCAAAGCGCATGCGTCGGAGGAGCAGCCCTGAGGCGAGTTGGCTCAAGGTTGCTTCTCCGACAAATGCACGCGTGCTTGCCGCTTCTCGTATTGGTGGTGCTGCCTTGCTGGCACTGCGGATCCTGATGTACTGTTAGTTTCGCCGTCTTTTCTGGTTCCTGGTGCGACCTCAGCCGAGGGTTACAGTGACGATGGAGAGGAGTGGTGGCAGTCAGACAGCGGCAGCGAGGATGGCGGCCGTGCTAACGCCCCGCGAACTGCGAAGCGGCGTGGAACTGAGGAGCGGGATGCAAAGGGGGCCCTTCCTACCCCTGTAGGAAAAAAGAAGAAGGGCTTGTCAGCGGCTGCTGAAATGCGGGCAAAGGGGATGCGCTCGTTGTTGCAGCACTTCAGCAGCATGGCCTCGGAGAAGGCAGGAACCTTAGGTCCGCAGAAGGCGGCAGATTCTGCGAAGCAATTGCAGGCTATTAAGTCGATCGAGGCCTCTCTGGACTTAGATGATGAGGACGAGGACGACTCCGCGCCCCACCGCATGCAGCCAGCCAGCAGCAGCAGCAGTAGTGGCAGCAGCAGCAGCAGCAGCAGCAGTAGTGGCAGAGCTTTTGCCGCAAGAGACAGCTTTGGGCTCTTTGGCCTTGGGGATGTGAGACTGACCAAGCGCGTCTCGGGGGCTGGGAGCTCTAGCTGCATCGCGCAAAAGCGGGAGGCCTCTGCGTTTGAGTCTTTACGGGAGGCACCAGGAGCAGCAGCGGCACGCGCAGACACACTGCGTGCAGCAGCAGACGAAGACGCTGCCTTCGTCCCCGCAGGAGCATCAGAAGATGCTGAGGCGGGCAGTAGTGCTCCTCCTCGACTGTCGGGAGCGGCAGCGGAACGATCGGATGCAGAGGAGGAGGCAGAGGAGGCTACGGTACGCTGCGACATCTTCGAGAGCAGCAGCGAGCACTTTGGTGCTCGCCGCAAGATGGTGGCTGTAGACCTCTTTGCGGCGGGGAGCGAAGAGGCCGCTCAGCCGCAGCAGTCAGAGCCAGAAGGGGCCTCCCGGGGGCCCCTCGTGCTGGATGAGGCAGTGGGGGCCTCAGAGGGCCTCCCTGTTTGCCCCGACGGATCTCTGCCCTTTTACTTCCTCGACGCATGGGACGATGTCGCCTCAGGAACTGTGTATCTCTTTGGGAAGGTGTGGGGTGTCGCAGCGGGGGGCCAGCAGCAGCAAGGCTCTGCTGCTGCAGTAGCGCCTCCGCAGAGCTGCTGCGTGGTAGTGAAGCGGATGATGCGGCCCTTGTTTTTCTTCTTGCGGAAGCAAGTGACTCTGGATGCGGGGATCGAAGGCTTGGGGGCTGACGGTGCCACCCCGGAGGCTGGCGAGGCTGCGCGGGAGGCACTCCTGGCGTCCTTTTTGCGCGAGAAGCAGGAGAATGCGAAGGAGTTCCTGCGTATGGACGGGCAGCGACTGAAGCAGCGATATCACTGGAGCACGTGGAAGTGCAAGGCCACCACGAGGCACTATGCATTCGACGCTGCCGGAGTGCCTCGAAGTCGGAATTTGCAGGTTGTCAAAGTGTTGTGTCCAGGGAGTGCGCCTTCTTTGGAGGCCGAGGACCTTCAGGGTGTCACATACTCCCGCGTTTTTGGGTCGAATGCTCCCCTCACGGAGGTGCTGCTGGTGAAGCGGCGAATCAAGGGGCCCTGCTGGCTAAAGATAACGGACTTCTGCCTCCCCGAATCTCCCGCAGACAAGGCCTCCTGGTGCCGTCACGAGGTCATTGTAGAGGGGCATAAGCAGATCAGGGTGTGGGGAGATTCACGCAAAGCGGGGGGGGAGGAGGAGGCTTCTTCCCCCCAGCCAGTCGACGGGAAAGAACCCCCAGCCCCTCCTCTCACACTCCTCTCCCTCGTGGCCAAGTCGGTGTCGGTGAGCAACAACCCATCCGAGGACAGGGCCCTCTGCATGGCAGCCTTTTTCATCCAGAGACACAAGGATATCGAGGAGCAGCAGGCGCAGCCAGTCCTTACCAAGGAAAATATCTTCTGCGGAGTTCGACGCATACGCAGTGGAGGGGGAGGGAAGGCGCAAACGGGGGCCCTGGGGGCCCCCGTTTGCGCGCGTGCCATGTCAAGCGGAGTGCCCCCCTTGTTCGAGGAGAAGGCGGAAAAAAGTGCAGTGCAGGTTTACGACTCAGAGAGGGTCTTGCTGACGAATTTGATCAATCGGGTGTATGCTCAGGATCCAGACGTGATTCTTGGTCACAACATATACGGCGCTGACTTGGAGCTCATTGCGCGTCGCTGCAACTTCCACGGCCTCCCTCTCTGGCACAAAATGTCGAGGCTCAAGCGGCCAAAGACTCAGAAGCCACCGTGCAGCAACCCGAGGCAGCAGCACCAGCACCAAAGCTGTCTCTGGGGGGGGCGGGTCCTGTCTGTGGGGAGACTCGTGTGCGACACATATCTCCAGGCCCGCGAGTTGCTTGGACACAAGACGAACTACAACCTCTTGCCGCTTTTACGGGAGGCATTTCCCATGCCTGCAGCAGGCGTAGCCGCATCCGGAGGTACAGGGGCAGGCAGCAAAATCTCGGCGTTTCATAGACGCATTGCGACAGAACTGCAGCGCATGCAGCCGTTCCCTTGCGAGGACCTCCTTTCCTTCTATTGGTCTCAAGATCCTTCTCGCCTGCTCTACGCCGCGAACCTGTGCTGTCTGGAAGCGTTCATGGCCAGTATCCTGGCGCAGCGTCTGAACTGTCTCCCCGTCACTCGGGAGCTCACCACCATCGGGGGGAACTTGTGGGTGCGGTCTCTGCAGAATGCACGAGCAGAACGGAACGCCTTTCTCCTGATGCATGCTTTTCACGCCGAGAAGTTCGTTTATCCAGATCCTCCAGGACCTCGCGGCAAGGCCAAGAGCCATGAGGCTGCCGCACCGGCGGAAATGGAAGATCCCAGCGACGGAGAGGGTGCAGAGGCCCCCTCCGCTGCACCTGGAGGGGCCTCCCGGAGCAGCAAGGGCCCTGCGTATGCTGGTGGGCTCGTGCTAGAACCACGCGCTGGACTCTATGACTCGTTTGTGTTGCTTCTGGACTTCAATTCTCTGTATCCTTCGATCATTCAAGAATATAACGTCTGCTTTTCTACCGTCCGGCGGGCTCAAGCCTCGGAGAACGGGGAAGCAGCCGGCGACGAGGATGCCTCCGTCTGGGAAATCGACTCTACACCAGGCCTGCTGCCTCGGGTGCTGCAACAGTTGGTGCAAAAGAGGAGGCAGGTAAAGGCTGCCGCTCAGAAGGAAAGAGACCCTGCGAAAAAAGCCTCGCTAGACGTCAAGCAGCTGGCGCTCAAGCTTACGGCCAACAGCATATATGGCTGTCTGGGCTTTTCTGGAAGCAGATTTTACGCGAAACCCCTTGCTGCCTATATCACGCAGCAGGGAAGGACTGTCCTTATGGCAGCGAAAGAAAAGGTCGAACAGCAGCTTAGACTTTCCGTCCTGTACGGCGACACGGACTCTCTGATGGTCAGCAAGAAACTCAGAAAATGGCTTACAGGAGAAAAAGGGTTTGCAGTAGTTGGCGGGCGGCGTTGTGCAAGCCGCTTTGCCGCTTAGTTCTGTCGAACTTTGCTTGTCTCTTTGATCACCTGTCTACATCTCTCTGCCTGTCGAAAAGTCTGTAGTTGCGTGGTAGACTTTTGCGATAGGCGGCTTCTCTCAGCTATGGCTGCTGCGCGTAGAGTGTTGTGTGGTTCTACGCAGGTAGATACGGGTCTGCGTGATGAGGGTCGAGGCGAGGCCTACGCGGAGAGTGTGCGGTTGGGGCAGAGGATAAAGTCTGAGATTAACAGGCAGTACAAGAAGCTGGAGCTGGATCTAGAGGCTGTTTTCCGCCGTTTGCTGCTCTTGCGGAAGAAGAAGTACGCCTGTTGCATAATTGAGGACTACGGACGACGGGCTTATAAGATCGAACAGAAGGGCCTTGATTTTGTAAGGCGAGACTGGGCCCTCTTGACCAAGCAGGCTGGCGAGCAGCTCTTGCGCATCATCTTTGGAGTCAGCCTTGCCTCCGCGAAGCAGCAGCAGCAGCAGCAGGAAGGCAGAGCGCCTGCGCCTGCTGGGGATGAAGATGCAGTAGACACTGTGGTGGCGTTGCTGCACGAACGTCTCCGCGCGATGCGGGAGGCCATAGTCGGGGGTCAAGTGCCCCTCGATCTCTTTGTCATTACCAGGGCCTTAACAAAGTCTCCCCAGCTGTATGCCCAGGGCAGCGGCGGCGCAGCACAGCCTCACGTGCTCGTGGCTCTGCGCATGCTGGCGGCGGGGAGGCCTGTGAGAGCTGGCAACGAGATTCCGTATATCATCTGTGATGAAGACAGCGTTCGGAGGGCTGAGCAGCAACGGCAGCAGAAAGCGACGCCGGAATTCCCCTCCGAATCAAAATCTGAAGGCGCTTCTCCCCAGGCCAGCGCCAGCCCGCAGCAGCAGCAACAGCAGCGAGTAAGAGGCCCCGCGGAGCGCGCATTCCACCCTATGGAGGTACAGAACCTTGGACTGAAGCCAGACGTTGAGTACTACTTGCAGCATCAGCTCTTTCCCCCTGTACAGCGTCTCTGCGCGCACGTCCAGGGCACCGGCCCTGGCCGCCTTGCAGAGTGCCTGGGTCTTAACCCTGCGAAGTTTGGCGAAAGGGAGCTGGGAGAAGAGGCGGGAGACGATCAAACAGGAGAGTCGGAGCGACAGAAGGGGGAAGACCGGATCCTTTCGTTGATCAAGAAATCAGATGAAGTCTTCAAAGAGGTGCAGCCCCTCGCACACGGCCTTATTGGCCATCGGTTCCCTTCTCCCTGCTCTGCTCTGCATGCATCCATGTGCCGCTGTTTGCATCGAGTGAACGTTGGACACGTCTGTATACACATGCATAAATATTTATACATATATATGCATACACATGTACATTTATATAAAGACATACGCATATACACAAGCACAAACACTGTTGATGTGCTGCTCTCCGCATGCTGTGGTGCATGTGGTGCAGTGCAACATCCCCGCGCAAATCCCCTGCGGTCTGTGCGGAGTTTGGCTACCAGCGGCGCAAGGCCTGATGGTGTGTGCAGCTGAACCTCGCGTTTACCCTGAGAATCCTCCCTTCAGTGGAAGCACCGTCGCGGAGAGGGTGTTGGTGTCTTAGGGGGGCATGCCGTTCATTCCTGCGTCCTCTGGGTCGGCTGTTCGCTGCAGACTTCCCGCTGCGGCGCCTGCGGCGGCTGGCTGTCTCCTTCAGCTCTGAGAGACACCCTGAGGCTGTATCTTGCGTACATACGCCACAGCTTCCACATCCATATCACGCGGTAAGGCTCTAGCTTGGCAAAGAGGGCTGCCCGCACGCTTTTCGCCGTCGCTTAGCCTCCTAGAGGCTTCACTTGGCTGTGCTGGTCCTGCCGTTGCTGCAGTCGGGCCCAAGCAGCGCTTGCTTCGTGCTTGGGGCCCTTTCAAGTGTGTTTCGGTGCTCCATTCCCAAACTTTGCATGCGACGTTGTGCTGTGTTTTCAGATGCACGGAGTGCAAGCACAAATTCGAATACCTTCCGCCTGGACCCCTGAGAGCGGGGGCCTCTCTGCGGTGCCCCCTCTGTGACGGCGGCCGCATCGTGGACTGTGTCTCTCCGAATGTCTTGTACATGCAGCTGCAGCACCTCCGATTCCTTCTTTCCCAAAATACAGGCAGCAAAGGCAGCAGTACCAGCGCCTCCCCCGCTGGCATGCGTCTTGCGCTCGACGAGTGCCATGCAGCGGTGCCTCTCCCCAGTTCTCCTCAGCTAGGTGAACCTGCGAGGCCTCTAAACCTCAGCGAGTCACTGCCTAAGGCAGGGCTGACCAGAGCCAAGGAGGCAGCAGTGGGGGTAAAGAAGGGTCTCGAGCTGAAGTTTCCACTGGTTGTTGCAGCTCTTCGATACCTCAGAGGCCTCAAAAGCGGCGTCCTCTGTGTCAGCTCAGAATCAGAGAGACACAGCCTAATGGAGGTATGACCCTCTCTTCCCCGCTTCCCAGTAGTGAAGTGTGCAAGTGTCTCGAGCGCCACAGACAGCCCTCAAGAAAGAGAATATTAATCGGCAGTCTTGAGGGGTCCGACACCCGGCGTGCTTCCGGGAGTGTTGGCCCTTCTTATTAGTGCCGCTTCGCATCCTTCTCCAGAGCTTGGCTCCGGATCTAGATGAGTGCGGCGCATGTTTTTGCCCCCATGTGGTTTTGCTTCTCAGCCTGTAACAACAACAATGACTGCTAACGCGCTGAACACCCTAGAGTAAGCCGGGCCTCCCTGACATTCAGCGGCTTCCGGCTGTGTGCAGCTGTGCAGCGGCGGTGTCTAAGCTGCTGGCGTCGATACTGCGGTGCCTTCTCTATGCCCCTTCTGTGTGTGCTGCCGCCCCTATATTTCCGCAGCGTCTGGCGTTTGTCCCTGTCTCTGTCAGCTCCATCCATTCCTCTTGGATTTCCACTGGCTCTGTATCTGAGTTCTTCTTTGTTTACTTCACATTCTCTCTCGCTGCCCCCGCATCCGTGTTGTGATTTTAGCGCATCTCAGTGTTTCGCCCGTGTAGGACGTTTCGCTCGCCGTTAAATGCTGCTTCCTTGTACCGCCTTCACACCTTCTGCATGCTTCCGCTTGCACTGTAGCGCTGTTTATGTTTGCAGTCTACGCAGCTTCTTCTGCGCGTTAAGGACTCCCACGGGGGCCGAGGGCCAGTCTAGCAGGTGGGCCTTGCTTGCTCAAACCTACATCGACGCCAAAGCAGCAGCTGTCGAGAGCGCTCTACCCCTCGATGCGGGAGTTCGAGATCCTTGGGGGGCTCCCGCGGGGATGCAAAGGCGCCGCTCGGGGGGCCTCCCCTTGGGATTCAAGGGTTTCGGGAGCCCTACAGTGACCATCAAGAGAGAGGTCTACTAGAGGTTCACCCTGCATGCTCGTGTGGCTGAACTCCGTTAAGCGGCACTTTTGTCGCCATAGCTTTCTGCTTTAGGCCACCACGCCTTCCTGAGCAGCTTGCCCTCACGAACAGTCCCTTTTCCACTGAACTGGAGAAAGCCCTAGGGTTCTTAGTTTGGAACTAGCTCTAGGAGCCGCTAAGGTTCACGCGTTAGTGGCGGTTCTTATGCCCGCCTAGGTTGATTGAGCTGCCCTCTGGAGGGCGAGGCAGGAACGCAGCCGAAATTTCTCCCCGCAATTAAGCTCGTGTTGTTTGGTGGTTGCAAAGCCGAGCCTTGGCCCTCTGGCCCCCCTTCCTTCTTTTAGTTGCAGCTTCACTTAAACCCTACTTGTGAGCTGGTAGCCCTCTGGAGGGCAGTGAAAACACGTTGATTGATTTCGCTCTATTGGAAGGCGCAGCAAATCGTCTTAATTTCCTGCCTCTGTGCTCCGTGGCCCCCGTTTCCATGTTGCACTTGAACCCCGCGTAGATATTGGATCTCGTGAGGCTACGCACCAGCCGGCCTAAAGAGCTGATGACTGCTAATGCACAGCGAGGCGTCGAAGGGAGACAAAAACATACGGACGCGGCTAGGTGCAGACTGCGTTTCTCCTGGTGAATATGAGAGATTGAAGCTGGGGAAGTGGCAGCGCTTTCCCGAATCGGCCTCAAATACATAGGGGCCTCAACAAGGTGGGGAGCGGCCACTCCCTTTCTTTGTAACACAGGCCGTTGCGGCTGCTAAGATGCGTCAGCGTGGCCACACCTCACGGCTCAAGGCTCACAAATAAGCTCCAGGGTGCTATTATATTCAAAATATTTCGCCATCAGCAGGAAAAGCGGTGAAAGGGCACCTGGCGCTCTCAGCTTCCTCCGCACAGTGTGGCGCGTCAAGCTTGCATACAGTGCAGAGAGAATAATTGGGCCTCCATTCTGCGCACAGCTTGCTATAAGCATCGGACCTTGCACGCCACGGAACTCGTGTGTTCTGGAGCTTTATGCCAGTCGCGCTGGATAATATTCTGCACTAGCCTCTAGCAGTCTTCGGCCCCTAGGGTAACCTTAATACTACACCCATCTCCCTACTCACCCCCCTCGAGCGCTTGCCACTGGCAGCGCCAAGAACTCTCCCGAGGAGACAGAGCTTGTGCTCTCGGGTTTTGCGAGGCAAATTACGAAAGCAGCACGAAGCTTTGTTTTTGCGTGAATCCTTCGAGGCGCGATCCGGAGTCGTCGACGTACATACGGATTCTTTCCGCAAATAAGTGGCAAGGACTGAAAGGAAGCCTAGTCAGCCACAAATATGGGAAATCAAGAGAAAACTTGAGGAAACAACCGCGGAATTCAAAGAGAAGCAAGAGTATGGAGGGCGCAGCCCTTAGCGACTCCAGCCAGCTGTGTGACCCCTGGGCCCCTCACACTCACCGCAGCGCCGTTGGGAGCAGCGGAGCTTGGAGGGCTCCCCCCAAGAAGCCTCGTTTATGTTTTGCCTCCTCAGAAGCGAGTCAATAGGAACAGTTGTGTTCCGGTGCAATGCGGCAAGTGAGTGCCGTTGCTGCAGCCTAACCGCGAGTCTCACAGGTCTGGCCCCCTCCGTAGCGCCCTCCAAGGGTGCCCATACGCTCTGATACAGCGGTCACACCTATCCTGAGATGAGTGTTGCATGCTACTGTTTCATATCTGATGCACTTTCTTTCCTCGGCGACTCCTCACAGTCCGCGGCGTGCCGCTTGTAGGCCCGCTAGGCCCCACCACCCAACGCAGTCAGTGTGCAGCTAGGGCTCCAAGATCCTGCTCAATATAGTGCAGCCTTTCGGCTGGAAACAGCATTCCTACGGGTGTGCCCGTTTCCTGCCGCGAGGGGTGTCCTTTTCCTGATGGAAGAACCGACGGCGTCACACCTGTCCCCCCAGCAGAGCTCCCCAGGCCGGGGGGCTCTGAGGGGCCCTTCACCTAGTCCACGAGGAAGGCAGCGCCTCACTTTTAGGGTTGACGATGATGTGGCGGATGGAGAAGGCAGCTCCCACCTTGGCTCCGGTAGAGCTTCCCTCCATGCACCTAGGGCAGGGCCCCTGCCTCGAAGGAGCCGCTCAGGGATCATGACGTGGCTTTTCGGCTCGTTTACGCAGAACCAGGCTGAAGACGCTTCGCCTGTTGAGGGGGGGATTGTGGCTGCTCCTGGAGCAGCCACAATCCCCCCTTCAACTGGTCCTTCGCTGCGAGGGGCGGCATCGCTGTTCTCGATCAAACGCATAGGCGGTGGACGCCTACGGGGGCCCCCCGTGTTTGAGCGGAAGCGAAGGCGACACAAAACCGTTGCCTGGAAGTACAAGAAGAGTATTGGACTTTTTGCGTCGTTCGTCTTCATCTCCAATCAGATCCTTGCATCGGGTAAGGAGGAAGCCCTCTACGCTTCCATGGGTAGCCCTTCGAATTGGAGGGGCACTAGCAGGGTGGGTGCAGCTTCTGTAGTGAAGGGGCTGACTTTTATGCAGAACGAGGAAGGAATAGTACGCATGCACGTCGGCGAGGTGTCTATATGCGGATCCCAGCGGGGCGCCTGAAGCTGCACAGGCTTTGCTGCTTCTTGACTCTTTGCCGGATTGCAGTTCTTTGCAAATCTCTGTCTTTCTGCCTTTCTGAACGCTAGGCTCCTTAGTGTGTTTGTATGTGTATTAGGTTGTGTATGTCCATGCCTGTGGATGGCTTTGCTTTTTCGTCTGTTTGGATGCAGGGCTGCTGTCGATGCCATCTTTGGTTCGGGCTGCCGGCCCTACTTCGGCATCGCTTGTCATCTTTGTCTTTTGTTTGTTATCGTCGGCGTGTGCCTTGTTACTTCTTAAGAGCATGACCTTGATCGAGGGCAATGCGGCCTTCAGCGAGCGGTACGAGTATTCCGCCATCCTGCGCTACTTCTTGACGGCGCAGTTGCCTTCTTCTTGCATTTCCTCGGGGAGCTTCTCCGGGCAGCAGCCGCAGCAACAGCAGCAGGAGCAACAGAGTGGGGCGGGCATCGCGATAGAGGGTGGCAAAGCAACATCCCGCAGGGGGCCCCTGGAGCTCATAGACCAAGTCCTTTACAAGGCAACTGGCCTAAATGCTCAGGAATCACCTGAGGGGAGAGGGACGAAAGGGTGGCTCTCTTCTCGCTTCTCCTCCTTGAAGGACGCACTCTTCTCTTCGCGGCTCCCCTCATGGACTCCAAGTCCAGTTCGACTGATGCTGAGTCTCAACAGGTCTTCCCTTTCCCAAGTCATTGCCTTCATGCTGTACGCCAATTCCTTTCTTTCGGCTTCTTCAGCCGCGCTGCTGGTTTCGTACTGCATCGATGCCTTGCTGCTGCGCGTGCTGGGGTGGACCGTCTTTATTCCGATGCTGCCATGTGGGGGCGAGACGCTAGCGGCGAACCTGCAACAGCTCAGCTGCAACGTGGGGGATCTCTTCGCCTTCGCCATGTGGCCTCTCAGAGAGCTCATTGTCCTCATCTGGAAAGTACAGGGGGCGCTGTCTAGCTCGGGAGGAGACGGGCCCCTCTACTCTGGCGAGGCCCTTGAAGATTGGAGTCTCAGGCCTCAATTCTCCCCGTTTTTCTTTGTTACCTCTCCCCAACAGCTCGAAGAGATCTTCTCGGGCGTCTGTACAGCTGCATGTGAGGGGACCGCAGCTGCAACGGCAGCAGCTACTACCGCTGCTGCCGCTGCAGGCGCTGCGGAGGTCGGTGCAGCATTAACAGCAGCGCAAAATGCATGCATCCCGTGCCTGAACTACATTGGGGTCTCTTTAGGATATGTCTTGACTGCTGCAGCAGGTCTCCGTCTCGCGGCATCCGATTTGGAAGACACCATGAATCTGCAGTTTATTTCCTTTTTTGCCGTTGTTGCTGCGGTCCTTAATGTCTGCGCTGCGGCACTTTTCCGCCTATCCGGCTCTAAATGGACATGGGCCTTCAGCTCCAACGCAGGAGACGCAGCCTCGGCAGCAGCACTTGCAAACCTGCCGTTTGATTCTCCTGCCGTTTTAACGGCTCCAGAAATCTTGGAAGCAAAGGCTCGACTTGCGTCGGCACACATAAGAACGGACGAAACGACTCGGGGAGGACTGCTGCCAGCGCTGCATTGGATTTTTGGGGGCTTTGCTGCCCGCACGGCGATACCAGCAATGGTAGACGCCTTTGGATTTTCATCTTCTCTGCCCTCATGGGCAAATGAAGTCCGAGACGAAGTCCCCGTAAGCGCACAGACGAAGGGCGGGAGGCCTGCGAGCGCTGTACACCCTTCCTCCTATGCCCCTTCTTGCACATAGTGCTTGGACCCCTTGGGTTTGTCAGAACTGCTTTTCCTCCCCCAATCCTTCTCCAACTCCTGTCTTGCGACCTCTTCGCTACATGGTCTCATGGCCCCTCTTTCCCTCTTGCTTTTCGTGAACCTCACTACTAAGCACCCCGCTTCGCACATAGACGGCCTCCACCTCCTAATGCTGCTACCCAATGGCAGAAAATCCAGAGCTGCCATCTTAAAGCCCGGCTCTCTTGCTCACTTTGTACCTCTCTTTCTCATTTTGCATCTCTGTTTTTGTCTCATCTTGTCTCGCACATGTTTACCTTGTATCTCTCTTGCTCTCCTCTTTGTGTCTCTTTCCCCTCTCTTTGTCTTTCTTTCGTTTTCTCTCTCTATGTATCTATCTATCTCTCGGTACTGCAGGACTTCGTGGGGGCACTTGCTCTTCGCGTCCTTGTTGTTGCTGAAGACTACACGTGCAGCGGCGAGAAGGAATGTGAAAGGGAGTCGCATGCATGCCTGTTTGCTTGTTGGTCTGTGTGCGTATCAGATATCGGGAACCGTCTGGGTAAGCAGTCTTTTCTCCGCGTTCGCCTTTTTCCTCTTCGGCTCCTTGTGCGCTACGGCCTTTGTGGGGGCAGCCGAGTCCACCAACGCCCTGGCATCGCTGCTGCACACTTCGGAAGGTCATTTACCTCTCGCGGTTGCCGCTTTCATTTGCCTCTTTCATATCGCCGCGCTGCTTCCCAGCATCGTGCTTTCGCAGATCAGCTCGCGGTCAGTGCTCAGCGTCACATTCAGCAAGCCCTAGCATACATATTCGTATATATATCTATATATGTATGTATGTATCTGCTGTTATCTCTTTTTTTCTTCTGTCGTGGAGCTCTGAGGCTTTTGAGGAGGTCATAGAGGGGACGCGGCTTAGCAGGGAAAAAGGAGGGCACTGTCGGGCAGCCCATGCACGAGGGAGGCAGCGGAACTTTTTGGCTCATATAGTGAGCTAACAGTGCACGTATGGTATGTATATCTGTGTACGTATGTTCATGCATGCCTTTGTGAGAGTGCATTGCTGCTGTCTATGGACCGTGGCCTTTGCTTTGCAATAGAGAAGTGTGGGGGTGCCAGCGAAGTTTCGCTAAAGCGCATGCGTTCTAACATAACGCCTGGACCTAGGGTATGAAGAAGGTGCTGTTGCTGTTCTTTTGCGTCTCTTGCTCATCGTAGGTACGATCTGTTGAACATGGCTTTGTGCGTTGATAAGAAATCCGCGTTTCGCACCGCCTCCACTCTGCCTTGGCTGCTGTATTGGCTGCTGACTTATCAGCCTTTCTTCGCGCAGCCGTCCTCTGTGCTCGCCCTCGGCACGGGCCTGGTCCTTAATTTCTTGATACCAACTTTGACTTTCATTTACGCGTCCTTCTTCTCCGAACAGCTTAAGAAGGCGTACCAGGCAGACTTTACCTCTCCTGCAGTGCCGGAAGACTGCGGAGACGAGGTTGTAGAGGGGGGCCCCACCCACACAGATGGGGGCCTCCAGCTCAACTCCCAGAGCTCTATACTCCTTAGAGAAGCTTCCATAAAGCCTCTTGGCTCCGCAGTACATCATAGAGGTCCTGGATTTGCAGCCGTCGCGGGTGCTGTTGCTGGGGTTGGGGGCGCTCGAACCAGGGAGATGCAGAGGCAGCTGCATCACTGGCTGGAGGAGTTCGCACGCAGAGCTCCGGATAGTGACGTAGCTCAGCTTCTACACCGTGAGAATGAGCCACTGGATTCGACAGAAATCACAGGCACGGGAGGCACAGCAGGTGAGGCTGCGCTTACAAGGGCCACCAGCAACAGCTTCGCCAGAAGGCAGGGGCACCAACTTGATTCTGTGAGTTCGTTTACAGTCGGAGACTGCAGTCCTTTGCGCAGTGGCATGAGTGCTGTTGGAGGGATTCCCTCTGAGAATTCTCAGCTTCTGCGGGGGGGCTCATCTCCTTCCCTGTGTGGCCTGCCCCGCACCTCACCATCTGGGACTGCCACAGCAGCTGCAGGATGGTGTGTTGCTGCCGAGGGTGCAGCAGCCAGCGAGACGGCGCATGTGGAGGTAGTGACACCCGAAATCGTGGCGTCTCTCTGGAGCGGCAGAGAAAGCAGCGCGCAGAGTCTAGGCTTATCCGTGGACAATGCAAACAACACAGCCTCAGCGACAGGCGCATTCGAAGAAACAGGGACCCCACCAGCAACGTTGGCATCAGGCCTCTCCTCGGATACCTGTATGAATGAAGATGCGGAGTTTGAGCAGCCGAGAGAAGCCTCACCCGTCCTCGAAAGACCTGGAGCTAGCTTCCAGCGGAGCCGCAGGAGGGCCCCCGTGATAGGAAGGCCTCAGCGGCATCCTGACAGCATTCCAGAGGGAGGGGCCTCTCCCGTGCAAGCACTTAGCCCCCCGCCAGTCTCACCCACGAATTCTGTAGACGTCAAAAACTTGACGCGTGCCTCCGTCGATGCACTAGGCACCTCTGTATTTTTTAAACCAGATGTTTCGGGTGGTGTTGAGGAGCCAGATGGAGGGGCTTCTGCAGTAGAAAAGCCGCAGACTGTGCAGCACCTGGGAGCTGCACAGTCTGCCGCACTCAAGGGCGCAGGTTCACCAGCAGCCGCGGAGGCAACAGGGGATTTGCGGCAGGCTCGCGAGGACCGCGCGCCTGTCGAGAAGCTGCTGCCGCAGACAGAACAAGACACAGCGACGTCTTCAGCAGTGTTCTCACAGTCAGAAGAGTTGGATCCCTCCACTGGCACGACTAGCAGTGGCAGTTGCGGCAGCCGGGTAGACAACATTTCCCATGCACATGGGCGTACAACCGAACGGGTGCGCTCCGGCTCTCCTGCTGACGTTGCAGCCAAAGCGAAAAGCTCGCCAATTGCTGCGCCTGGCAGCAGAACATCGTTGGAGCCCAACCGTCTCGAGGGCGAATCGGAAACTTCCCTAGCAAGGTCAACGGCACCTGCTGTTTTCGTTCACTCGCCGAAGCAGCACCCTCGCACTGTACCAGTCGTGGTGGCGGATAATTTAACTAATGATGCTGTCGATGGAGCCGTTGCAACCACCACTCGAGGAGGCAGAAGTGTTGATGCCGCAGTTGAAGCGGCTGTGACTCTCGACCCTATGTCTACTTGCGCCCTAGGAAATACCAGAAGGCGTTCGCGTCCTAAGGCCGTTCGGTCATCAAGGCCACGATCCCCCGTTGCCTTTATCCTGTCTGAGGAGCAACCGGCGGGAAGAAAGTGCGAGAAGCACCCAGAAGACACGCCCACTGCGTCTGGTGAAGCCCTTGCAGCAGAGGGCGCACAAGGCACGGAGGAAATAGCAACAATGGCAGTAGCAGAAACTGCGAAAGAGGAAGTAGCAGACGACACACGACGCGTGGCATCCGTGACCAGGGAAGCAGAGACCGTACCACAGACAGCTGCAGAAGCAGCAGAAAGCTCAGCAGAAACAGTCACACAAACTGTTGCCTCATCTCCTGGTGCTGCTGCTGGGGAAGCAGCGGCACTAGTGCCTATTTTGAGGACCCGGAAGCGGGTGTACACTGTATGCCGCACTGTCGTGCCTCCGCTCCCCGACATAGCTGGACCGGAGGCAGGAGCCTTACCGGCTTCGAGGAATAGCTGCAGAAGCAGCAAAGCAGCAACAGAGGAGACGCTGACTCAAGACGTGAGTGCAGTGCCTTGCCCAAATCATCTATCATCATTGAGGATCAAAGAATTCCTCGCTTTATATTTCTTTTTATGGCAATATGTGGGAATCGCGCTTGCGGAGTTTATGGCTGCCGTTTTTCTGGCCCATGTTCGTACTTTAAGTGTTGTCTTGTTTTCCCCTGTGTTATCTTCAGACGAGAGAGGGGGCCTTTGGCCAGTTTACTGCTGCTGCAGATAGTGCAGCATCAGCTGCAGCTGAAACGGCGAGAGGATCAGAGCCAGCAACGAGGTCACTGCCTGGGACTCTTGGAGGCGCCGAAGAGGCAGCAACAGGTGCAGCAGCAGCAGCATCATCATCAGGGTCAGTGCCACGTTTAACGACTCAAAAGACGAGTCTTTGGTCAGCATGGAAGCTCACAGGGCTGGGCTACGTAGTACTAAGCACCGCGAAGCTGCGAGGCGGGACGGCAAAGCGCCGCAAGGAGGCAGGAGGTTTATCAGAAACCCGAGTGACACTGCTTCCCTACCTGAAGTCCCCTCGGGGAGAGCGACTTCTCGCGTGTCTGTTGCTGCTAGTGATTACCCTTTGCGCCTTTGTTGCTGTCGCAGCAGATCTGGTGGATGCCGCATATTTGACTGTCTCCCTGTTGCGGCAAGCATGGTCCCTGTCCTGCGCCTCAGCGAAGCACCTCTCTGAGTGGCTCTTTGAGGCAACCATTGAGCTGAACCAGTCAGCAGCTCGAGCCACCTCCAATATTCTCGTTTCTGTTCCTTAGTTGTGTGCTGGCGTCAGCAGGTCTCCCGGAGCTTATATTCTTGCGAGCAATCCGCCCACGTAGCTTCGGTTCACTTGCTTATCTACCGGCCTCTGCACCTTAGGGCCAGCTAGCCGACGACGCACTTGCTCTGACTCCGAAAGGCCTTTTAAAAAGCACACACATTTAGACTATGCTTAAGATACAGGGCCTGTTGAGTGCCAGCCAGAAGCGGCAACAGACCCCGTGGGACTACCGCGGACCAAGGGGGCTACAGTGACTTCGCGAGCAACCCTCCCCTCCAGTCGAGCTATTTACTCATCTAGCCAGCTAGCTACCAAGCCTCTCAGCGAAATGCAGAGCTGGTAGTTGCACAACAAGGCCCCCATGGTGGCTTCCTCATGCAGTGCAGTCTGAAAACGGATAAGCGCTCAAAAGGTTCAGTAACTCTGGCAACCCGCAGCTCGCTGTCGCTCATGAAATACAGTTGCTGCGGCCCGTGGCAAGCCAAAGCAGCGGCCTCGGCGGGGCGTAGCACTACCCGATGAGATCTCTGCACTGCGCATACACTCAAGGTGCTCACTGAAACACCGCATGTGCCGCTGTTCCTGCATATTGTGTTGCAAGCAGTGACACCGGCTGCTAGCGTCATTCTTGGTACGGCACGCTGCAGCATCTCAACCCGCAGACTGAACATCCCCCTTCCAGCTTTCTTCTTGTGTAGAGCTCAGCCACTGGGCATCCGTAATATTCGAGGCCCCTGTGTTAGGGCCATGAGCCTCATAGGCAAACCATTGCCTGGAGCGCATCCTAACGAGCCTTAGATCATCATGTGCTACTAGGGTCTCTACGTCCTCTGGGAGCAGCACAAACTCTTCTTTCCTATTATTAATAGAGATACTAATGGCTCGACCTCTAGGCAGCATCTGCACGCGCCGTACCACGCCCCTGAGGTGCTGCTCGTTCCCCGAGGGGAGGCCTAACAAGGCCTTTACTCGTACACAGATAGGAGTGTTGGGTGTGAGCTGAGAGATGCTGGCTTGGACTCTGGGGTCTTGCTGAGCGGGATTCGCGGCTGTGGAAAGGCAGCTGCCGTCGCCTTCCTTAAGATTAAGCCCTATGGCCGTGATATCCGCGGTGATCTGCTGGAGACACTTCTCTCTGGCTTGTTCCTCTAGCCAATTCTTAAAGGCTTGCTCGTACTCCCTGCTTGTAACCAGCTCCTTGTAGCGCCTTATGATGTTGGGAATCTCGGCCTTGGGTGGCGCCTCATGCCGATTCTTCGCATAGTGCCATGGATCTACACCAAAGAGATAGGACAACACTTCGAGCTGGTACGTCCGGGCGGAAGGTAAAGCGAAGGCCACATGATTTAGGTCTGGGCAGTCCTTCATCGCTGCCAAACAGGCTTTCCTGTCCGTCCGCAGACGCTGCTTCAGCTGACCATACAGCTCCTGGCGACGGTGATTGCACTTGCATTTGCAGATCTTCTCGATCCCCAAAGGCGCAGGGCAGCAAGCAGGCTTTGAGCCTCTCTGTGACTTGAACCCGAAGAGGCCCCCACCTCCTCCAACGGCAGCATCATTCGGAGGGCCAGACGATCCCCCCAAAAGTGGCAGGCGACGCTTCAAGGCCTCTCGCTCGGTAAATCGAAGAAGGCAGAGACGGCCCTCCTGCAGCAACTGCACTACACGCCCCACTGGGAAGTGCAACACGTGATGCGGGGGACTAACCAGCTTTAAAGGCAGATACTCCCCGTAAGGCACTGTAAAATAACGCTCTCCTGCCTCCACGATCACAAACTTCGAGAGGGGCCCGCGCGCCGAAGGAGGTGCCTCCTCACCACTGCCCCCTGAAGGCTGAGGAGGCAAAGGCGGCAACCCCATCTCCGCCAACTTGGCATCCAGCACGTCTAGATGGATATACACACGCGTGCCAGGCACGAGGTAATTCAACTGACGCAGTGTCTTCAGATCCGGGTTGTATGCCAGTAGCACCTCTGCATCCCCTGGATCCCTTCCCAAGCCGTCCGCGGGGGCCTCCAGCGCACGCGCCGCCTCGGATTGCTGCTGTTGCTGCTTCTGCTGCTGCAGCTGCTGTTGATGCTGCACCAGCAACTGCTGCCTGCGATCTCCTGTGTCCCTCATGGCTTCAGCTTCCAGAGCCTCTGCTTCTAGGGCAGAATGCGTAACCCCCAAGGGCCCTCCGATTCCGATGTTGTCAAGCTCCGTAAGCACCGAATCTACAAACTGCGGGCCCCTCAAGAGCTCCACTTCCTGCACAACCTCGTCCGCCTCTCCAGGGGCCAAATGCGTGAAAGGCAGTTCTCCCAAGTGGGCAACAAGGGGCCCCAGGATGGTCCTGTATGCCTCGAGCACGGAGGTGCTTGGAGGGGTTGTCGGGAGCAGCAGCGAGGGCCTCAACCGCGCCACATGAAGCTGGAAAGGCACTCGGTTCCCCCTGCGACGCCACTGCGGCCTGAGACGCCCCAGTGCCATCAGCAGCTCCAAGCAAAGGTCACTCTGCTGCAACGCTGTAAGGGGCAGCGGAAGAGGCATCAGTGACTGTAGGAAGTCCTCCTTACACATTTCTGCGGCAAGCAAGAACGCAGGACGCAGCACACGAAATTCGCCCCCTGTTCAAAGACCCCTACCTTACGGAATAAAGAAGCCAACAAGTCCCTTCTGTCTTGTGCCTGCACGCAACTTCGCTCACCGTGGGCTGAAGTCGTTGCATCGCCTCCCGCAGCAGCCGTTCGCTGCGCTTTCAGCGCCTTCTTCGCTGTCAGCACAGGAGAGGGCGTTGCCCCTCCCCTTTTCCTGCGGCGCTCCGATTTGAGGAGCTCTTCGTCCGCTGAGGGTACGGGTGCAGCAGCGGCAGCGGCAGCGATTTCCTCTGTCGCTTCAAGGGTGGTTCTCTCTACTTGAGGGCCCTGATCGTTGGATCCTTCGTCTGTAGGCTTGTTGGACACCGTCTCACCTGCTTCTGGCATCGTCGCATCTCTCTCCTGACGTTTGAGGAGTCCTGTGCGCCGGATGTTTTGGAATCCTGCATGGGGGGGGCCCTGCTGTTGCCCAGTGAGCCAGGGAATCCACGAGGCGATCTGCTTCCAGGGGGGGGCAATCGGTTCTTCGCACGACAACAGGAAGGCCCTCACCGCCACCAGCGCGTGCTGCTGCATTGTCACGGCAGAGTGAAGACAGTCGGGAGGCCCCCGTGCAAATTCGCGTAGTCCAACAGACCCCTGGCGAAGAAGCCCCCTCGCCGCCTGCTGCGAGACGCCTGCCGGCCCGGGGCCCCACAGGAGCGGACTGGTCCCCTGCAGGGGAGGAGGAGGCCCTTGAGGGGCCCCCATCGCTCCAGCCATGAGGCCCTGCATGGTCGGGAAGCCCAACCAAGGGCCGCCTGTTGACACGCCATATCCCAGCGGTGCTGCGTTCTTGAAAGGCCACGGAGCCGCATGCGTCTGCCCCTCCGCCGCAAACAGGGGGCCCCCCGCACAGCCTTGCAAAGCCGCCGGAACAGCCCACACGCCTGCATCTTGGAGCTGCGGAGTCTCCTGCTGCTGCTGCTGATTGTGCCGCTGCTGCAACATGCGTTGCTGCTGCGCAGCGGCTGCGAAGCGTGGAGAGGGCCTCACCGGGGCAGCCAAGTCCCTCTTTGCCGCCGCTCCAGAGGGCAGGCGCTGGGAAAGCTTCTCAGACGGCATCGTGGGGGCCCCCTCTGCGCTAGCCAGCTGATCCGAGGCCCCCACGCGAAACACCCGACTGTCCGGACTGGAAGGCAGCATCATGTGCGCTGCCCCTCCTGGGTGCTGCAGGGGACCTCCCTCCAGGGGCAGGTAGGGCAGTGACTGCTGCTGAGGGCCTTCAGCATACACGCCTCCGGGATTGGATCCAGCCTCCGGTGAGCCTCTGTATTCCTCTGCCAATGGCTGCCCCTTCGCGAAACAGAAAGGGGAGACTTGCAAGGGCTTCTTGTAAAAGCGGCCCCCCTGGACACACTTGAGTTGGCTCTTTTCTTCTTGCGCATCAAACTGCACGGAAGCCGCAGGAGGCGCTCCCGGAGGCCCCCCTCCAAGAGATCTGTCTCCTGTGAGGAACTGCTGGGGTTGCTGAGCCTGGGCTTGCTGTTGCGGGGGAGGGCCTTCCAGCATGCCCAAGGCAGAGGATGCTGGGGAAGCCGACGCAGGCGGACTCGACGCCGAAGGGCCCCCACCCCAAGGAGGCGCAGTTACAGAGTGACCCCACTGAGACACGGTTTCCCCTTCGGCCGCAGGAGGGGGGCCCATTGAGGGAAGGCCCTCTCCACTCGCCTGCAGAGCCCGCTGCATCAGGGGGCCTCCTCCTCCAAACCTTGTGGGGTCGTCGGCTGGCAAAGCAGAACCCTGAACAAGGGGCCCCCTCTGCTGCTGCAGCAGGGCGTGCGGGAGCCGCTGACCCCAAAGAGAAGTCGCACCGCTGCTTGCAGGATCGTGCCACTGAAGGGGCCCCCCGCATCCCTGCTCCATAAACATGACGGGGGCTATCCCCGCCCCCACTGGGGCCCCCCGTGCATCCTGCGCTGAAAATGCAGGGGGGGCACCAAGGACCCCGGGTTGCTGCCGTCGGGAGTCCTCTCCAGGGGGGCCTACGATTTGCGAGTACCCCTGATGGACTGGGGCCCCCTCGGGACCTTCGGAAGCCTCGGTAAGCGAGAAATCGCGCTGAGACATCTTCGAGGAAGCACAGTGCAGCGGGCTCCTCTGCACGAGGCTATGGGGACTGCAGGGGCCTCACAGGCTTTCGACCACGACAGGGGTGGGGAAGGCCCGTTGCAGCTGCCCCGTGGGCCCCTGTGTGTGATGAGGGTCTTTCGCCCTCTGCAAAAGCCCCCCACGACGGGCTCACCCTCTGCAAGGCCTGTGTTGCGGGGACTGGAAGTCAGACGGTTTGCAGTTGGGGACTCAGTGCTTCGCACTGGGGCCCCTCCACTGGGGCCCTCCGCAAATGCCCGTTGAAGGGAGGCGGTGGCCTGGTTAGGGCAGTGCCGCCGAGCAATTAAAGAGAACGTGGTGGCAGTACCTGGGGAGAATCCTTCCTCGGAAGGGCCGCAAAGGACGATAAATGTTCCCCCCCTGCAGGAAATACGGGGCATCAACGCTCTGCCGCTCGCAAAGACGGGATCAAATCCGCTGCTCCCTCTCTTCAGGCATGCGCGAGTCAGTCTGCCACTGCCATTCAAGTTATCTAAGAGCAGAGAAGCTCCCTAAAGCCGCTCAACTCTGCGTAGAGACCCTCTTTGGGTAGCAAGGCACTTGCGGCCCGCCGCCGCCACTTGGCCGGCCTCGCACTGGGGGCCCCTGGGGCTCCCATAACTCATTTTTCAATATCCACAAGATGAAAAACACAGTTTTCCGCACACATCTTGGAAAGAGAGACGGACAAGAATAGACGTGCGAGTGGCGAGTAGATCGGACTCTCTCATCCCGCAGGACGTTCGGAATGGAGAACACAGACTAGCGTTGGGGTGAGGGGTGGAAGGAAAATAGCAAGGGGCGGGAAGCTACTTTTTGCCAGCACATTGCACACTGTTCGGGCATAGTTCGTGGCAGGGAGAGTGATTAAAGTCCTCAGTCCCCCCGCAGGCTTATGGGCGCATCCCCTTCTGTTACGAACACATCGAGACGAAAGGGCCAGCAGTACTCAATCCACCCGGACCAAAGTCCTTCTGGAGATACATCCATCTCCATGCAATTCTGCTCACCATGGGCTATATGCACCATTAGGGGTCTCGCCGTAGCGTCCTTTCTTGTCTTGAAGGGCCAATGAAGTCAAGGAGTCGAATAAGCTGTTATTTGCCTTATTTACCGTCAGATGGAATGGGACGCATAATACCCTATCAAATTTCAGTAGCACTTTTGGTTGTTCAGACTCTCTGAACTGCACTTGTTCATCTACTAACGATCAGAGATCACGTTAGCAAAAGGTTTGCGGGTGTGGAGCCCTGTCCAACGATCCACTCACACATTCTGGCAAAATGGATAAGAGTATTGCCTACTGTGTTCTATGATGCTGCACCGTGAAGACGGTAGCCTTTCGTAGTTCATGCTGTGTAATCAGGCAACTAGTGGGGTGATAACAGGGTTAGCGAGCTATGGTATGCGCGAGATTTCACCAGAATTGCCAATATTTGAACCATGATTTGGGAGTTTGAAGAGGCACAGATTTTATGTTACAGGCTCAGGCTGGCCAACCCAACAGAGAACATTCCATCAATACTGTGCGCGTTTTGCTGAACAAATCGTTGTTCGACTGCTTGAGCTGCCGACAGAAAGCAGCTACTATAGCCACCCTGTTTTCATCAGAAACCTGCAACCCCTGAAGGCTTGGGGTAAGGGGGATCAACCTGAGCGTAATTAGCAAAGAGTTCGATATCCGCTCTTTCTTAATGAATTTCCTGTAACGATGACCCACGCTGAATGCTTGATAAAATTGGACGGTTCAGCGCAACTCCAGTCACCTTGCCCAGAGCCACAAGCTGCGGGGGCTGCTTCACCAGCTAAATCCTGGCAACCCCTAAGCTTTGGCGATTGCGCTTCTGGAACAAGGTTTGTCCCGTCTTACAGTGGCTTACCTGTTATTTTGCTTTTGCTTCGGGCACGAGGATTTGGGGGGGAAATTCATTTGCTATCTTCGTACTGGAGGTGCATAAGATGCCTTTGTAACGCCTAGAATATCAGAATTTACTTATATTAGCGTCTCGTGCCCGAATGCATGAGGCTCGGCAGATATGTGAAGTCCGATGATCACGTGGTAATCAGGCATTCGAGCTCTTGTTTCCAGCATCAAATTAAACCATGGATCAGAGGTGAAGTGTTTATGATGCTTTTCGTCTCATGCCTGATTATGGAAGACATACGATAGTTGTGGCTCAACCTATGAAGAGTGAAGCCGCTAATTACACACATCATTCCAGTGGCGTGTTCACTGCGACGTTCCCTGTTCTATCTATGCTAGGTTGATACCATCACTTGCTACAGGGCCCGAATCTGCTGGATATATATTATGCAGTGGTGAGGCGGCGCAAGAAAAAACAAGAGCATGGCTAATTGCATAGCTCTCCGGTGAGGCTCTAATCTTTTGAAACCATTTTACCACATCAGAGTTAAGCTTGACTGGAAAAAAAAGGGAATATCCATCAATACTAAGTTAAAACTGTTTGACAAAGTAAGGGGGAATATTTTTTCCCGAGTAATCTTAGCCAGGCGAAAGTCTTTTGATCTTCTAGTGCATAAAGCGATGCACTTGTACTAACACTCTTTGGGGGGTCAGCTCCCTGTTAGCTAAAAGCATACACTAGAGGGATTTCATCTGCCAAAAAGCTGCCGAGAGCAAACTTGAAGTTGGTTTGCTACATTTTGTATGGATACATGCTGGAAAGTGGTTTCAGGGACATTTTCAACGTCTATGTAGAACACTCATCCTTTAAAATCTCAGTGGTGTATTTCTGTTTAAAGGGTGGCACAGATGTCCAGGGTAGCTACCGCTTGTTCTCCTCGCGATCTCGTATGCAGTATTTAAGGGCCTCGGAAAGCTTCATTAGCATCTATCTCTGCGAAGGTTGCAGTGTGAACTGGCCCGGTACTATTCTTCGAAGCAAAGATATTGACTAGGGCCATCTGAGGCTAAGAAAACACGATTCACATCTTCAGGACCCTCCCTCAATTGTGACATAGCATTCTCTAGAAGCTGCATGCTGACTCAATTTGCTCACTGGCCGAGATCTTCCTCCTGCAACGTTGCGTCCTTGAGCAGCAAATAGACTTCATAACCCACCAAATATATAGACACTGCGGATAACAAAACCCATATACGTTAAAAGACAGATGCTCAGAGCGTGGTGGCTTTCTGGAAAGAACTGGTGGGCAGATGGCTCATGGCGAGGCATGTGGTTGTTGGTGGTTTCAAACAACTTTTATGTCCCGCCACGCCATTTTCGTTTCCATCTACTGTCTTTTGGATTTCTTTCTCAAGTGGAGCGCAGCCCGCTTTTTGCGCCTCTAAAGTTTCCCCACTAATTGGTTAGCCCTTTCGCGATTACTGTGGCAATATTACTCTTGGCTAGAACTTTCACTAAAGATCTGTTTCTCGAGCCTTCTGAACTGCTCGGCAACATAAAGTGCTGTTGAATAATCCGCAGGATCCAATTGGGCTGCGAGAAATTTGTCTGTGTGACAATGTAGCGCTCTAACAGGGCAATCCCTTGGGGGAGACACTCAGCGCTAAGTCCAAAGAACACCGTAAGCAGTTCTTGAGTGCCTCTCGAAGAGCTCCGTCCCCCCGTCTGCCTGGAGTTTCTCCATTGAATTTCTGCATGCGAGGAAAGAGAAGACTCAAGTGGGCGTTGGGACACTGTGTGAGCTATCTAAGCATCCGCAGCCTGTTGCACATCGCAGCTAGCGGGCAGGCAAACAGTAAGCCATCTTGACAATTGGTTTGGCCGTCCTTATATTCTGATCGTTGCAGAGTAGGTCTAGCTCAACATTACTCTTCACTTCAACTTTTTGTAGAGCCCAAGTGTGCGCTGGCCGGGTACAGGCACGCTGAGAGTCTACGAGCTAGGCCAGGAGACTACAACATGGGGAAGCTATGGGTTTTGATGCAAGGCAGACCAACGCCCTCGGCTCGAAGGAGGCGTTTTCCGACAAGACGTCTAGGGAAGGAAGAGAAACGCCTTCAGAAGGGGTGCTCCAACTACAACTTTGGAAGAAGAACCCATAGATATTCTCGCTTTTTCTAGCGAGTGCATTAAGGCATCCCATAATTTCTCGATAGAGAGAATATGTTGTGGGACATCGCCAGAGGCGGGGGCTCCCCGTGTTGCTACGGGGGGCCCCCCTGTGTCTCCTGTGACATGCAAGCCCAGTGCTGGCCCTGTGTTCTTCTGTGTCTGCTTCGTCTGACCACCATTGACCTTCACTATTGTTTTTGGTTTTCCCCTACCAGTCCGAGATCGCATGAGTGCATCTCGCGTGCCGTATGTTTTATCGTCCCTTTCACCTGGGCCCCGTTCAATCGATTCCCTGATGAGCGAAGGCTGCGACTTAGAAGTAACGGCTCCTCCTCTTCCTCCCCAAGTCCCTTTATAGCATAAGTGGAACGCGCAGTGCATTGGGGTCCACTGTTCCTTGAAGCCTTGACATTCCGGGGCTCTTCCTCCGTTGCCTTCCATGGCAGAGGGGCCCCTAAGGGGGCCCCCGGGTCCCTGGTATCTATGCTAAGGGGGATCCCGGCTAGCTCTACCTCCACCTATTGCCATTCATTCAGTGACTCCTCTTAATACGTGTGAGTGGGAGATGGCGCTGCGGTGTCTCACTGCGCTTCCTGTTGGGGGCCTTGGCGCGCTCTCTTCTGCCCCTCCCCAGTACCTCGGTGGCAGAATTCTGCCCTCCTACGCGGCAGCATCAGAGCCTCTGGGCCCCTTGACATCTGTACCGGTCTCTTTTGGCGTGGGTGAGGTCCCCAAGGGCCTCATCAAGGGCTTCTGGGATTCCCAAAGGCCCTCCAGGTGCCTTAGGGACTCATGGATTTGTGGCGCTCGAGCCTTCTCGACTCGGCGTAAAACAGTCAAGGCGATTGGAGCGTGGCATTTGCAGCAGGAGGCACGGAGACGAGCGAGGCGGCTTGAGGAGTTGACTCATGGGGGCCTGCTACCTTCGACAAATGCCACATTAGAGGCAGCGACAGCACCAGTTTCCTTTCAACCCAAGTACAGTCCAAGTCCTCTATTCCTGTCACCTCCTCCGTCCCCCCCGGCTCTATTCACGCAAGTCAGCGTGGCTCCTGCTCCTTTCACCCGTAAGAATCCACCCCCGGAGCTGCAGCATCTGCCGCCTCGGCGTCCAATGGGCCGCGTCTCTGCTCTGAAATCAACGGAACTGGCAGTTGCCGTCGTGGAAGCGGCACGCAGTCACAGGGGGAACGCGACGCTCTGGCAAGAGCTGCATGCAGCCTGCCTGCGGCGGGGCCCTCACTTTTCCGCAACGGAGGCGGCGCTGGTGCTTCACGGCTATGCCCTTGCGGGACTCAATGTGCTGCCTGTACTCTGTGCTTGCTCTCACACTCTGCTCACTAAGTGGGGAGACGTGCGGCTAGTCGATGCAGCAAGGGCCCTTCATGCCCTTCTCAAAGTCTTTAAGTTGCAAGACACCCGCATGACCTTGAAGTTTATTGACAGCTTCGGCCCCGTGCTCAGACACCGTAGCAGCCGCTCGCGCACTAAGGACCTCGAAGCCTTGCCTAGAGAAGAAGCCTTGCAGCACCTCCACACGCTTGCACTGCTGCTGAAGGCCTTTGCTGCAGTACAGCTGCCCTATCCTCCTCTGCTGCTGACTGCAGCCACGGTCCTGAGAGCGGAGCTGCTGCTGGTCGCAGTGCCTTGTGCCTCAAGGGCCAAATACAGCAGCAGCTCTAAATCCTCAAGGGAAAAAGACTCTCGCCGCATCTTCGAGCTTCCCCCGATAGCAGACCCCAAAAGCCTGGGAGGGCCCCTGCTGCCGCCTCCCGCCGTAGTCGTAAGCATTTTGGAAGGCCTGACGGCGTTGGGCTTCCGCAGTGAGCCCCTATTTGGCGCATTTGGTGCCTTTCTCGCTGCTACACTCCCCGGAGCTGTCGATGTTTCAGCCCCTGGGGGCAGCCCTCCACAGCTGGTGATACCGAGGGGGCCCCAAAGGACCCCCGCTGCAGGGTACTGGGGAAGCCCCCCGTATCCCTATGCGCTGCATGCGGCGATGGCGACGGCGACGGCGTGTAGCAGTCTCAAAACGACACGCGAGAGCGGCTGGACCCCACAGCGGGCTGCCAACTGCGGAGGGCCTCGTAGGGAAAAAGTGACGGGCAATTCCGCCCCAAACCTCCCCACGTGGAGACACCCACAGGCAGCAACTGACCAAGTCGCAGCAACAGCGGCAAGCAGCGACTGGAGCTTCCGGCTCCTGAGCCGTGCAATGAAGGCCTTGGGATCGGTAGGTAGCAGCTGCGCTCCCTTGATCGGGGGCTGGGTGGGAGCTGTGCGTCACAGAACCCACCGGAGCTCTCCTGAAGACCTTGTCTTGGCGCTGGAGGCTTCACGTTCCTCCTCCTTCTTCTGTCGCCCCCTGCTGCTGCTTCTGCTAGGAGCACTCGCTCACCGAGCAGCTGACCGCTCGCTGCCCGTAGAGCTCCACACCCTCTTTTCAGCAGCCATCTCTGCTGCGCAGCTCCCAGTGTCCCTCCCGGCCTTCTGGGAAGCGCTGAACGCCAGTCTGTCTCATTTGCAAAGAGAGCATAGGCCTCGCAGCGGTCCACCGCTGCCCGAAGGCTGCTCTGGCGAGCCGCAGAGAATGCGCACCGGGGCCTCTCAGACAATGTCTCTGCCAGGGAGGCCGCATCTCACCGCCAGCAGCCTTCGCAGCTTCTCTCTGCCGCGACATGAAGAGCGGGGATGCGGATCCACGGAAACCGCAAAAGAGACCACTCCGGGTTCATGGGGCCCTCAAGAAGAAGCACACAATACCCTCACTGAGGACTCCAGTGGCGCTTCCCTAGGGCAAACAGAAAGGGCCCATCAGTGCGGGAAAGGAGAACCGCTTCTTAAAACGGGGGGAACGAAAACGGGTGCTGCTGAGGAGACAGAGAAGTCTCTCTCGGTGCGAGATTCCGTGTCTCTGCTTGAGGCTGTGGCCCTTGCATTTCCTGCGCTTCCCCTTAGTCTGTTGGTCATAGCGCTGCCGGGGCTGCGACGCCTGGGGCAGGAAGGCCTGCCTCTTTCCTTCTGCTTAAGGGCTTTGGGGATGCTGGAACTTGTGAAGCTCAAAGCGAGTGCAGGGGCATGGGGAGCTTCCCTTTCTGGATCGGCAACAGTGACCCTTCGCAGAAGCAGTGTAGAGAATAGCAGCAGCAGCAATAATTCTGCCTTAGTTGAGGCCATCGCGGAGGTGCAAGGGGTCTTGTTGAGAGATGCCCGACACCGAGTGCGCGTGAGGCTGCAGCACCAGCTGGCGGGAGGAGCCTTGAAATCAGGAGGCGTGACAGAAGAAGGGGGACCTTCTTCAGAGGACTCGTGGCTGTGTATGGTGAGGGACTCTCCAGCAATGGATTTGCATCTCCGTGAGCTGTGCCTCTATGGCGTGCTGAGCCCCTTTGTTTCCCACGTCGCGAGCAACACAGCGGGCTGGAGGGTTCCTCAGGAAGATTCTTTAGCCCACAATGGTGGAGAGAGAAGGGCGGGGTCCCTCGCTGGTGACCTGGGGCCCCTACAGATTCTGCGTCAGGTTAGGGGACTAGTACTGGAAAGGAGCTGTCGATGGCCCCTGGTTTTCGTCAGTGTAGAGGATGCGGTCTCTCTGTTGCACCTCGAGCTGTTGCCCTATTGTCAGGATGTAGGGCAGGCAATTGCTGCAACGAGGCTCTTGCACGTAAAACGGGGTGCAGCTTTTCAACCGCAAAAGGAATCTCGAGGGCACCTTCACACGCCTCCCCCAAAAAACCGTGGTATGCCGTGTCAGCGGGGATACCAAGCAACAGTTGAGCTTGACAGCCTCAGGACTTCCCTTTCTGGCCCGAAGGGTGGGGATTATCCAAGGGCTGACCTGCAAAAGCCGTGTGGGACTCCCCTGGAACCGTGGGGAGTGGACAAGAGCTCCATGGAGGCCATCCTTAACTGCTTTAGTAGTCGTCTTGTTACCTCCGCAACACCTACGTTGCTGCATGCTGCGACCCTCACCTTTAAAGCCCTTGCTCACCCCCGCTTGCAGGGCCTCTTGAGGCAGAGTCGTACCGGCGCCCGGGATCGGGATGACGCGGCTCGAACGGAAGCAGAGAGCAAAAACCTTCCTCCACAAGACACCACAAGGCACTTTGGAGGAACATCCCTGGAGGAGTCTCAGAGGAGGGGCGGTCCCCCTTGCGAGGCTGTCAAGGGCGAAGGCGCAGAGGGAATGATTGTGTCTGAAGAAAAGGAGAAAGTAGCAATGCAACTCCTTTGTGAAGTGTGTCAGCTGAGTGTAGAGGCCCTGCAGCAGAGACTCCAGCTATTACAAGCGAACGAACTTAGCCTTGTTGCTGCAGACGCGCAAGCGCTGCTCTGCGCCCTAAGAGCACCACACACGGGGTCTGTCAAGTCCCGTCCACAAGGATCACCCTCGCGAATGCCCACTTTGATGCCTGCTCGAGATCAACATGGAGTTGCAGCTAGACTCTATGAGTGTGTGGACGAGTGTCTCGAGAGCACGACGGGCCGCACTGATGAGAAGGCTGACCACAGCGACAACTATCACCTTGGGACAGCTTCTCCGATCTCAAAAGAAGCGACCTCTGGAATATCGCAGCTAGAAGAAAGCCTAGAAAGGCTCCTGGAGGCTTTGGCTGCGCGTTGGCGCGCTGTTCCCGTAACAGTCTCTTCTGCAGGACCAGCTAGCAGCCTCAACGTTTGCCTGCAGCTGGGCCTAGGTGGTGCTTATGTCTCCGCAGCTACTAAGGCCCCTCAAGGGGATAACTCAAGTATCTTTTTGCGGCCCTCTGCGGCAGACGGACCAGGACACAAAGATAGACTTTCCGAGGAATTCGAGCAGAGAGTTCGCAACAGCGCCCTTCTTGAGACCCTTTGTCCTGGTATTTCCACGCCGGAGGCTCTGAGGTGGCTGAATAGGAAGCAGGCAAACTGCACTCAGGGAGCGGAGCTAATTTCTTCTTCGATTTACCAGGAGACCACTGCTTTGATGGATGCAAAGGTCAGTCCTCAACAGTGGGGCAATCAAGCACTGTGTAGTATGCGCGGTGGCTACGGCGATTCTCTACCCCGCGGACAAAAGGGCGACAGCCTCGACGCGCATGCTCAAGGGGGTTCACAGGCTGGAGCCCTTGACATAGACAACTGTCTCAAAGTGTTGGCTGCTCTTAAATTGAGATATACACCCACAGAATGGAGTAAGGGATGCCCGCGACACCGCACAGCTTGTTTGTTGACCAGTAAGACACACTACAACTTGGCGCTGTCGTGGTTATCACAAATTCTGCGATACCGCGTCGCGGGATAAAGCATACATTTTAAAGGAAAAGTCTGATGGAACAGCTCGGGAGATCATGCAAGGGACGCAGGCAACGTGGAGGAGAACTGCGACTACACCCGTTAGAGAGGGTAGCTGTAGGTGACGAAAGTTTCAGGAAGATCATCTGTATGTATCACTGGATGTATGGCGTTACAGGAGTCAATTTTTCCTCCAATTTTCATGGCTTTTGTTCTTCCCAGCACCTCAATTCCCTATAATTATTTGTGAATGATTCGTGCTGTGTCTTTTTTTGTTGTGCGCCTAGTCCATGCATGACACTCGCGTTGCTGGCAACACTGAGTTACAGTCACAGGTCCAACTCGTGTTAACCCCAAGGGCAATAAAGCAGACGGAAAATTGAGTCTCGGCTGTCTACTATGCTAACAAAGTGCTGGCTCAACATTCTATCCGCATGGAAACAAACTGACGCAGCCTACCTGGCTGCTTTTGGCACTTAGGGTAAAATCGCCCGCCATCGGGCACTGAAGGCGCTGAATGCATCTGCTTCGAGTAGCAAGAAACCTTAGATTATTAGGTGCATAGCACAAGCAGTATTTTACCCCTCATGAAGATAAGCGGTAAAAAGGGCATTTTCCGAGCTTCCTGGAATGTTAACAGCCCGTGGGTTAGTTCAATGGCTGTGTCGTCCCAATACTTTCAACCCACACGAATATTTTCAGGACTCCCGCTTTACATATTCCCAGGGTTGGGAATGACTGCTTTAAAATTCTTGACCCGCTTAACATGCGTTAGCATATTGCGCTCCCTGTCAAGGATTCGAGGATGGCATATCAAGGTTCGCGAACGAGCCCTAGCCAAGACTTATCCATTTAGTCTGAAGGCCTGGTTCTGGAGGTGCTGCGGCAGAGAAAGAGGCAGTACATTCAGAAATCTCCGTAAGTTTGTGAAGTAAAATAATGCACAGTTATGTAGTCCGTTACTTGGCTGAGTTGGACAGCTGTGCCATATACATACTGAGTATAAACGGCATCTTATTCATTAAGTAGCATACAATGTCCTGCTCAGGAGATAAAGTCAGATGACAGCTATTTTTGGCAAACTTAGTCCCAGCTAACTCTTTTCTGCTAGAGGCCGACTTCGACCGAGTTGGTGTGAGGATAGCAAAAGCTTTTATATCCAGTATGTGATACAAGAAGCATCACTCGTTTCCTGGTTCCAAGAGCTAGTCACCAGTACTCTGCAACCTTTGTTCGCTTCTCTGGCTTCCTGTGCCGGCTGCAAGGAATGTGTAAAGCCGTTCCAGGTCTTCTCAGGTTTGATACGCCTAGCCATTTGGTAAAGTACCCACAGTTGCTATTTCATCTGACAAACAAACCGAACTTGAAACTCACGAATGCTGATACTTTTTCTGTAGCGGCAAGTTGCGATGAGCTCACGAACCGTAAAGCGAAGGCCTTATCGCGGCAACGTTTTTCCATTAGTCTTTCAGTGCAACTCAGCCTATACAGCATTGTATTATGAAGTGCAAGGATTGAACTGAAGAGCGGATAGAGGAGAGCAATTTAAATTCCGTCATTTCTGCCCCTTTGGACTGTGCTACACTGTTGGGACTATTTAATAATTGCTCGAGCGGAAGGGAATAACCTGTCATATTTTATGGCTACGTAGCTGTTATCACGCATCCCATAAAGCTTTACTGGTGGATTATGTACTTTTACTATGTGTGGCTGAAGGTTAGATGCCTTTGTTCTAAAACGGTGTGGGTGAAGGCGGGGACACGACAACTGCCTTGCTGCTATTCTAGCTTCCTCGTACCAAGGACCGAGTTACAGCAATAGCAGTGCAGAAACACAAAATCGTCTGTTAAAACTGAGAACGAGTGTTTGCAGCAATGGTGCTTTACGGGCGATATGCAGACTACGCTTGTCTGGGCTGCGACTCTGCATGCAGGTCCATCAGACGGCTAGGCTGGTATTTGCTGAATAACACTAGACACAGTATGGACGTACTTTTAGCTTAGCAATAAGCTTTGCTCACAGTACTTTGTACGACTAGGTGTATATGTCTCGAAGAGGTTGTTTTTTTCATGCCATGTAAACATTCAGTATGTTTTCCCCCATTTCACGTGAGGGCGAGCACTGTCATGCGCAAGCTTTTCCCCGTGCAAAACATGAAAGCAGTTAGTGCAACATCAAAATCAGGAATTTAAGGGTCCGGATCACCATCCTGGTATAATTTTGGACTATCTCCTCCCTGTAAGGCACGATGAAGGGCAGGTGGCGCAAAGACAAACGGTCATGTACTATAATTCAAAAGGAAGGAGGCAACGCCAGGCCAGAAGAACAAGCCAATAAGGAACTTAGCACGATACAGACGTCGCCCAACGCAAGTCTTGCAGGCTTCACATTTTCCGGTTCCTTGAGAAGCGCCGGAGAGCAGCGAGTGTCATGCTATGCCAGTGCCCATAATTCCCTTGTCAGAAGCCAGTTCGCGATGTGCGATGGAACGACCCATGACGATTTCATGGTAAGCCCTCGTTTTCATGTGTAAATGATCTTCCAGACACTATGATTCACCATCTTAGGGAGCCTCAGTGCTGCGTCAAAAACTCTTTGCTTAATTGTTACCAAAGCGGCAGGGAGTTTCTTATGTGCAAAGCCGTATGCCGTTGGCTAGACTCTCAGAGCATTTGCAGTGGGCTTTCGATGGGGTGAGAATCAAATGCGTAATATGTTATATCCGGGTGTCCAGAAAGCCCTCACTGGCGGGAGCATTTGCATTCCTGAATTCTTCAAGCCACATGAAAGCGAAGCCCTTTTTAGCTCGCTTCTCAAGGAACTTTCTGATTACGCGAAGTGAGTCATGTCCTTAGGGCCTGGTTAGGTTTGTTCACTCCGCAGTAAATGCGGCTGTGCCTGCAAGTGAGGGTTTGTGTCTTTTTTTGTGTCCACCAGGGATCAAACACTTTTGCATGATGCAGCATCTAAAGAGGCAGACCCGACACCTGCCGAGATGAGGGACACTAGTGTGACTTTACCTGATGCCGGCTTGTGCCGTTGGTCAAGGCATCTAAAACACGAAAACCCTGAAGGATTTCCCACATTTCAGAAGGTGGTGCAGCGCCTTTCCAATTATTTCGATTTAGACATCTACGCGACTCGAATGAACATTTATCCTGATGGTTCTCACTGGAAGCCGCATCATCATGATTCTCATGCATATTCCTCTGAAAGACAACAAGTATGTTGCACCTTCAGGTATAACCCCTTTATCGGGCTCTTCATGGGCGAAGGTCATGAACCAGTCACTTAGTGACCTTAGCGATTAGCGCATGTGCCCAGCGAGCCATGATCAATGCTTGCGCTTGCACTTGCAGGCAGAAGATTTCACCGTGGGAGCATCGTTCGGTGGCCAACGCTCTTTGGAATTTGCCCATGTCAAGAGTGGAATAAAGTTCTGCTTCCCTCAAAAATCTGGCTCAATTTTTGCGTTTAACTCTCTTGTCAATAAAACATTCACCCACGGTGTCCCAGCCGAGCCAAGCAGCAGTGTAGGCCCTCGAATATCAATTATTGTTTGGGGCAGGCGCCGTTCGCTGAACGCGAAAAATGCATGTGCCAGCGAGTTGGACGCTTGAGTACTTTCAGACCACACAGTAAGTCAAAATCTGTATTCCTTGTTGGATTGGTGTGCGATAGTAGAATATAGGATCTAACGAACTCCTTTGATTTGTAGTACAGTGGTATTCACGGCTTGGTTTTCGCCTGACCAACTATATTTCCCAAAGAATAGGTGCCTCCCATGGCTAATCTTACTACAGAATAATGCAGAAAAGAAAAGTTTGCCTAGAAGCCTGATCCCGACGGCTTCCGATACAATAGTGTTCATGCATGAATATACAGCGCGCTGCCATTCGTAACGGCATTGCACGCAAACCACGACTATGTCTAAAACAGCGAATGCGCTTAATATCTCCAACAACATGGGCAATATAAGCTTCATATGGGGTTATGGTAGCGTTAAATGACTTAACACTTCAAGTGAATGATTTCGGGTGTCGATACTATGCACGATGCATATCTTCCTGGAATTGCTCCTAAAAGGGCTACCGCACTAATGAAGCAGACAGTGCCAACACTCCATGTCCAGATTCGTTATCTTTTCCACTGCTACATTCGCTCATTGGGCTTCCTCGCATTGGGAATTGTAGCTTAAGGCGAGCACTCAAATCAAACCAGCTTCTGTCAAAATTTTTCTGCATTGGATCATGGTCCAATACCCGGAACAGCTACGAAAGTCTTCCAAAGAAGAAAAATCAGTGAAACGGTGGCATTCTGATGGAATTCTGACCTTAGTAACGGGGTGCCTGTCGTTTATCACGTTCCTGCTGAATGCGGCCGCTTGCTACAGCGGGAACTTGAAGCATCTTGCACCATATGACCTAAACGGTTCGCCATAGTGGTACAATAATAGAAACGGGTTTGCTCATTGCTTGTGTTTTCAGCTGATTTTTGTGGGTCTCAGGAGGTTGGTGAGGAAAGGCAGTACCTCTACTATCCGGATCCACACAATCCGACTAATGGCATCTGCGTGGAGTCATGTCCAAAAGGTTAGAAGCATTTTTCTGAGCATTTAAATTTTTGTAAGCCGGTCAAACTCGTGATTAGCCGAATCAACGAGGACAATCAACATTCCAGATGGGCTAGGAGGAATAACAATGCATCCTGTTACCAGCTCAGAGTTGGTATGGCATACTCACTCATTCTTCTGGACTGGAACAGATTTAACTAATTTTAAACCAGGTGTCGGGGCAATACTGTTTTCAGGGGCGTTTAAAGTCTCGAGAGATTTTGACAGCTCTGCAGGCAAAGCGCCCTTTTCTGCATAGCATTGTTCAGGATATATTTAAAGCCACAGAGGTCCTTTTCGCCACTGTTTTCATAAACATAGTGCTAGCCATTGTGGGAATGAAGGCAACGCTCAACAAGAAGGCCGGGAGAAGCGTTCTGCTAGCGTCCTCATTTTCGCCTTGTTTCCTCTCGATTTTGACCGCTCTCTTGACGTTGTATCACACCTTTACACCTCGGGTTCTCCCCCCGGGGATTTCTTTGCTGCTGCTGTCAACCATTCTGGTGAGAACAATTTTACGAATACAGCGTGAGCATACACACTTCCTGTGTATTTTAGGGGACAATATCTTTCCTAACGGGGGCAATCCCGGTTATATTCCCCAAAACTTACGCCAGGTGCATTTAGGCCATGCCCGCTTTCTCGTTCGACTTACTTATATGCAGGATACTGTACAGGTCCCAACAATTCATGTTGATTGGAGCGCAAGCTCTGGAGGAAATGCCTGACCTGCTAACATACGTCATAATGACAAGTGCTGGCGTTGGTGTGACGTTAGTGTGGAACATTTGGATTTGTGCATCTCTGCTAACTATGGGAAGACCTGTGCCGGAGCCTTTGACCGTTGACTCTCATGGTGAAACATATATGGGCATTATGACGTCATTCACACGAACCCCTGGACAAGGTCTAGCTTGCCTTATTGTCTGTGTTACGTTCATTCTCCAATTTGAGAGTGGTAATACATATGCATTTCCTTGTTTTTATGCGATTGCATTACATTATCCAGCTATCATGTTCACCAAGTTCCTCGCAACCCGTTGTGTGAAGAAATGGTAAGAGTGCTCTATACTCTTCTGCCTTGTTCACAAGTCACATCTACGTTTTCTAGGTTCGAAAAACTTCCGCGCAACGGGCGTAGAAATCCCAGATGCGACTACCTGTTGGCTGTTGGTGCTGAAGTATCAAAAGAGTGGGGACCTCTTGGAGCTGCGAGTAAATTCGTTGATTCTTGTCCTATCATTATTTAGCTTCCTATCCCATTTCAGCTTTCTTTTCACCCGCGTGCCGCCTACCTGCTACATTTATGCAAATGATTAACGCTGAAAGCTCCCTGGCGCCCCACACGGACACGCTGGCAACCTATCTTCAACGGCTTTTCGCTCATTTCAATGACTGCCGTAACTAACCTGCTGACATGAATATCACAGAGAAGTTACGCAGATAAATCGCACTGCAGTCTTGTTCAACAACCAGCTACTACCAGTTAAACTTGATGGCTCGACTGGTGGATTTCTCGAAGGGGCGCTTGCTGGTTACCTTGTAAGCCTACTTGTTTTAATCGAGGGTCACTCACCTGCACTAATCAACATGAAATAGGACCTAACTCAGGGAGAAGTGGATGATCACTATTCTGCACGGCGCTATCCTATCCAGGAATTACTAAGGTGGATAAAACTTTTCATGTCAAAGGAATAAATGGCTTATAACGAGGATGTCATAGCCCTGCCTTCCAAATTGCTTTTTATTCTACAATGGTAATTATTCTTCGGTATGATTCGCCATGCTTTACTACGACATGATTTTTTTCAGAGCCTCTTTGTTGCGATGCTGACTTGGATTGCTCTTGAACTTGCTCCCATATTCAATCACACCGTAAATTATTGCACAGAATTCATGCTCTCCCACTCTTGGCCAGGCCAGTGTTCTATAGGGAGAAAAGGCACTCGATTCTATACCGGTTGTGGTAATGGTGACGTTTGCCATGTCCACAATTGTACTGGCAGTAAGGAACTTCCTAATGGTCTACACAGGGGGCCTTTTAAACGAATGGACTTCAGATATTTCAAGAAGCTGCTAGCGCGGCTTCATGCGCGGCAGTAATGTTCTGGTCAAAGGCTGCTTCAGATGTTTTGTGGTGCAATTCGATTAACTCGGTAAGCCCCACGAAGAACAAACGGCGAATCTATAACCAAAGAAAATCGCTGCTATACCGTTCTCAGGACACACTCCCTGTGTACGAGTCGAAGCATCTTCGTGAATTCTTGAAGCTTCTCAGGAGAAAAAGCGATCAGGAGATTTTGTTTTGAGTGTACCATAGTCGGTGGCGATAATCAGCCATCAAGTATTGAACCCGAGCGGCCACCTCGCTGGGCCATTAAGAGATGTACAGTCTTAATAAGCAAACTTGGCAATTCGGAAGGCATTGACATCAACATGCCGTGACGGAATGCGTCAACATAGCTGAGAGGTGCAGGCTCAACCGGCGTTGTACTCCAGGCAAACCGAGGCTAAAACCTTTTGATTCCCCTTCCGCAACAGTAGCGGCAAAAAATACAGTGGACTACTGTTCACTCTACTTGGTCGTCAAGGGCCTGCTGCAGATTGACGGGTTACAGCCAGACCTAGTTGGTATCAGCCGTCTTCAAACTACTAAACAGATGTCTCTGCGTCTTGTAGTTGGCCGCTCTTACACACTGCTGAGCAGCCACTGTTTTCGAAACATCCCGGCCATTCCAAAGACTTCCCAGCAACATTCCCCTCAAAGTAAACCAGATGAGGGCGGCCCATACTAGGGCTCAAGTCAGATGATGAATCCTGAAAATACGACTGAATGATAAATCGGTCCTGAGCGAAACGGGAAAATACACAGGATAAAGGTGTCAGAAGCTACAGAGTTTACGCTAGTGATTCATTCTTTTCCCATGATCCACTAAAGGACGAGAATCACTACTTGAGTACAAGAAATTTAAGTTGGTGTCATTAGTGCTCCTTCCTTCCGAGCTTCCTTTAGGAGTTACGGATACATCACTTAAGGCTTTTAGATGGGCAGTGGCGACATAAGAAAAGATGGCTCACATTTCCCTTTGTAACGAAGTGCATGAATGGTCCGGCCTCAATATCCTTTCCAATGTCTCCAGTTTGTACTACCATAATATCGTCATCCGTGTACTCTACAATAATTCCTGCTCTTTTGTCCATAACGACCCGCACCGAACTTGAGGCTGACAGTCTTACGTCTTCATAAATCTCGCTGGAAGGACCAACCTGAATTGTGTACTTGTCGCAGCTTCCTAAACCCGTTGCCTTCACCGTCGTCCCCCCGAAGAGTTCGTCAAAGCTGTCAGAAGTCACTAAGCGCACGGGCTCAAGTACTGGTTCTCCACCGGTTGAAATTGCGGTTGCACAGTCTGCATGGGAGCAAATATTGACAGCAGCGACGATCACTATATAAAGGGGCTTCCAGCCCCAATGAATCCACATATTTCTGATGGAGGTTTCCCGCATACAGGTAGAGGCAGATGCGAACAGGGTGACGAAACCTTACGGGGGAGAAGGTGGAGAGAAGCGTAGGCCAAAGCTCTTCCAAAGGGTGCCATGACCATGACATTAAATGGAATCTGAGAAAAGGCAAGAAAAAAAGTATATTACACCGGTTCATTCCGGCTTTGGTCAGCGTGTTCCGCGTGTGTGCACCAGGAGCTTGGCTGCATCCTGGATCAGAAATGCATTAGTTTGACACGAGAAGAGCTATAAAAATTAGGTGCTCTTTGTGACTGAGAGAAAACGGTCGTCATAGACACATCAGAAGAACGGCACAAGGTAACCATAGGTCCAAGACCTTACTACGTCAAATTTAGCCGCAGTACTATGTCGTCTCAAACGGAATACAATTACAGAGAGCGAATGCTGAGAGAATGCAAATTTTAGTGAAAAAGTGGACTAAAACACTTTTTAACGGAAGCTACAGAGAATGCCGCAGCGCTGGACAGGGAGTCACTAGCTGTTTCCGTGAGGTGTCACCATCTGCCCATTTTGTCTCGTTATCCTTCAATTAAAGCAGAAAGTGATATTACTCACTCAAGAATCTGCAGCTTGTGTAGGAGGAAGGATAAAGGGTCCATTAGTGAGCCGTAGTGGGTAAAGGAGCCGGCAGGAAAACTGCTAGACCGCGCCCTACCCAGCGCAAATAGCGACTCCATATTACTCAGTTCCTGAGCTTTAGAGGCATTCTCACACTGTATAATTACAATTAATATCATTAGTACACTAGAATGCTGGCGCCAGCATTTTTAAAATGGAGCTGTTGAGCTTATGTCTCGATACAAGTGCTCCAGCTGCCTCTAGCACTGTTAGGCCATGGTGAACAGGCGAAGCAGAGTCAGCAAAATTTTCGCATGTATACAACTGAAACCCGGAATTATGCTTAATTGTAAAGCGTCTGTACAGTTTAGATAAGAATACGGCACTAAATCAATAACAGACACACATCTGAGATGGACCATCCTTCATTGGAGTAGGCACTGACATTAGGGTCGACCTATATATGAAGCTTCACGCGACAATCTGTGCCTACGATTCGAATCCAAACGTTATTCATGCTCCAGGGGACAGCAAAATAAAATGTTCTCGGGCGAAGAAAGCACGAAAAGGCGTGTTGTAGCGCGCTCATGTGTATTGAGTGCGAGTTTAGTTGCATCGTCTAGGGAATTACTCTGCAAGATGATTAAAAACTCTGCAAAAAAGGCTACAAATAGCGCATGGGCTTAACAAAAAGGCAACACGAAATGCCTAACTACCCGCAGAAAGTCGCAAGGCTGGTAAGGCAGAATACCTAAGACCCTGACAATCGCCAGAGAAAATCACCGCCCGCGCCACTTTTCTGCAAGGCAAACTTGTTTTGCTCTTGTGTTTAGTCTTTGACATGTAGCGCCTGTGTGGCCGATTAGAGCTTAGTGCTCAATCTTTCTTTTGCCTGCTTTACCATCTTGCTTAGTAACTGCTTATCCACTAAGTTTCGCGTTTGGCGTCAGCTCACGGCAGAGGATAGAGTCCGTGTATAATGACCTCCTCTAGAACGTTCTTCTTCCATTAGAAACAATGAAAAATGCTACTCTAAGTTATTGTATTAAGAGTGCATCTCAACATGGAATCTTGAAGTCGGAAAGCTTTTGGTCATTGGGTTCTGCTACCTGCTGATTACCTGCTATCGCTCAACTTCGACATGAACCCTTGAAATACCTCCATATACTAAGATTTCAGTTTGCTTAAGTTTATCGTAAAACAAATGCGCAATCACATCTTTAGTTGTAGAAGCAAAATAAACAGCTCTTACCACTCTTTGCCCCATGGAGGTAAATTACATAATAGGGCAACACATGCTACTAGATGAAGCTCTTGCAGCAACGTAATTCTTCTTTTATTAGGTCATTTGACTTGCCGTTCTCCTTTTCAAACTATCCCCTCAATGAACAAACGCGAAGAAAGCAGCCAAGGAGGGTACAACGGAGACTAATTCTAATTTCTTAAGCGGGAAACTACAAAAATTGAAGGAAGGCAAATACGATTTGTTTCATAAGTATATTTGCTTTTGATCACTTTGAGTGTAACCTTACCATGGTGCAGAGAGGCCGATTGCCTCGTTTGTGCAAAGTAGACTTGAAAAATGTATGGCTTTCGTCTAGAAACTTTCTGTGGTCACTCATAAGACTTGCCAACACATCGGTTAGATTGTTGGTAGCCATGGCGCAGAAAACAGCCAACAGTGTGCTTGTGCTGTTACACTACTTTCTTTGCTAATTAATACCTCTGTTAATATGAAGTCGACTAGCGTGGGCTAATAAAATGCCCGGCGGGTTGTTAGCTTTACCTGTTATGTTCGGTCACACATACGGTGGGCCTCAAGGAGACTGGTCAGCAAGCTGTATCTGTGCACTAGTACCAGCATGCTCCATCCTGTATATCACATCCCACTATTAATATGCTAAATGTGAGACAGTTGAAGCATTAGCCGTTCACTAGGCATAACATCTCTACTCATGGAATTGCTGCTACCCCTGGATACCTGTTATAGGACATAAACGATCTAGTAGGTACATATGTTTCAAACACATAAAATATATGTTCCATAGGAAGTTATTGAGGAACCAAAGAGAATTAAAGCATTTGGCAACGGCTGAGCAGCTAGAGATCAGGAAACAACGACCACTTCTCGGTGCTGCACACCGGAATTTCGATCAAAACGGAATGAACAAATGCAATTACATTGTGTAACAGAATGTGATTACACCACAAATTCGACCTAAACCGCGGCAGTAATCTTATTGCCCCCCTCCCCCCTCGAACAAATTCGTAATGTACGAATGGCTTGGGCCCCCGTGCGCCCTCTCAGTGCTAGGGGCCCTCGAGTCCGCCTTATTTTTTAGTTATTCCCGGGCTCTGATGTTTGCTGCCCCCCATATTTTTAGGATTCCATGATTGTTAAGGTGCACTGGCTGCTTTCATGCTGCATCATCACCCAGTCTAGTCCTATTTCATTTCCGTGAGATGTGTTTCTGCTGTTTTCTTTTCCCGTGCCACCTCCGCTCCATGTTGTTATTCATGCCTTCTTGTATGGCTGATATGGCTACAACCCATTTTATTTAAGATTACTTTCCCTGGTATTCTTCTCTATTTGGTTCGACTGTTTGTGGAAGGAACCTGTTCAGGGCCACTTGCGCTGTGCCGGGTCAACACCCCGTGTGACGACAGAATCTTACTGCCACCTCTAGAGAAATTATCGCACATACAATAGCAGGCCGTTCACAAGCGCAGCCACGTGCCTGGCTCTCGGTGCCGAATGCTTTACTTACCTATGCCGTACGCCAATATGCCGCAAACTTTTCAGCAGACTTTCGCAATGGCCCTGCGCCGCCGTGTCTCTAACTCATCAGCGTTTGCGGTCCGATGTGGCCCCGGGTAAGAATATTACTTCCTGAAGATAGCAACTGGTATTCTTATCCAGTTGTTCAATGTGATCAACCACATATTGCTGACTGGCTTTTTCGGTTTGTTCTCTTGGCTTGTGTCTGATTTTCTACTCTGCATACTTTCCATGCGCTTCTATCTTTTGTTTTTTCAGCCTTGCAGCGAATGCAGCATCGGCTCTAGACTATTGCAAGCTGATGCCCTTTTCGCCTAGTCGCAACTTGCCCAAGGCCCTTTCGTCCTCTGTCTCGTCTAACCTTCCATCACAAAGCCGCCGCTGTTTCACTAGACCCTCTTCTTCATTTCCTTCGGCTTCGCCGTCCCCTCCGCATCCTAAAGCTCCTGCTTCTAATGAGGAAGAGGGCCCTCTTGAGCTTTTCACCGCCCTGAGCCCATGTAAAGCCCTCGCACAGATACCCCATCTTCATGAGCGTGCATTTACCGTTTCGAGGTATGAATGCCGACACCTACACAATCATGAATCGCTAGAGGTATGCTTGTCACTATTGCATCGCTGTTGTTGCATTCCTTGCAGGCCAAGAAAAGCTGAGAGATACCGCTAGGAAGTTTGCCGAAGAAGTAAACACCTAAACAGAAAACTCACCCATGTGCAAGTAGCCAATATTTCCACTTCATGCTCGTCGTCATGATGTATAGTGTACCTTCCGCTGTCTCCTCCTGGGATAATGCTTCCTTCATCTTTTTGCTTCCTCATCGTACTATTTCTTTGTGTCTCCTCCAGTGGTTCTCTACTCTAAAGTCATGTCTAGGCGTCGCACTGAGAGTGTTTGTTTCCTTTAGATCAGGTTTGTCGCTGTCTCTGCCTTGTTTTTGCTCCATCATCAGGAGATCAGGCCTCTTGTTTCCAAGATGGACGAAGAGGGAGAGATGAGCCTCGATGTCATCAATGCTCTCTTTCAACAGGGTAAGCTGTGAACGCAATCAGCGCAAACTTAGCCTGACTTTGTGGATCGAAATGATGAGTCAATGACGTAAAACCAAACAACAATAGGACATGATTAGCAGCAATGAACAAGCTAGAACGAAACAAACGAAGTCCATCCCACAACCCAGAAGGCGTTTCCTAGTGCTCCTACTGTTGTTCGAAGACGCGCACCTGAATGTGCTGGCCGTACGTTGTTTTTGCGGGCGTTGCCTCTGTTTTATCGTAGGCTTCATGGCTATGGGCGTCGGTACTGTTGAGGGTGGTAGTGACATCTCTTTTACTGACAGTTTGCTCGTTATCAGGGAGATCAGCAGAGTTGATCCTGCCGTGGGCCTTTTCCTCTGCTCGCATGTATGCTACAAAATACAAGCAGATAACTCTTAGCGTGTTGCACGTCATGCTGCTGGTCCTGTTCCCTTTGTAGCTGCTGCTAGAGTTCTTGCTGCTAATACGCCCCCCGGTAGACTTGGAGTGCTGCTGCATTCGGGACTGCTGCTTGTAAAAAAGAGCGTAGATTGACACTGACTGCTGAGTATATCTGTTGCATATGTACGCCAGCGTATCATCTAGAGCATCAGTACGTCTCGGTTTGTTTCTATATCTCCTCAGAACCATTTGGTTTTGCAAGCTGTCTGCCAGCACGGAACGTCGGAACAAAAACTGAACTACCTGCCAAAATTGTGCTCAGGTGGTTTTATCTCCCTTGCTTTTGTGTCCCCATTTAGCCTGCTTAGTTTTTTTGACTGCTCATGCCATTATTTTCAGTTGTAGCTCCTTTATTCACTCTTTTTTTTCCTCGCGCCTCGAGCCTCCCCCTCTATCTTCGTTCTCGGCGTCTTCTTTTGCCTGCTTCCTGATTCCTTTCTCAACTGCCCGTCGCTACTTGAAACGAGTGCACTATGTTTGCCCTTCTATCTCTTTTAGCTGCTTCTTTTGATAGTATATCGCTTGGCTGTCCGTTTTGGTCTTGCTTTTATGTCGCAGACACGGTTGGTTGTTTCTGTTTGAGTGAATCTTCCACCAGTGCCAGGGCCCCCTTCTCCGTGCATTGCACAGCTACCCGCGATGAGGAAAAGGGTGGCTTCTTCTTGAAAGGGAACAAACAATATATCTCCAACGCAAAGGAGGCGGGGGTCTTCCTTGTCATCGCCACAACCAATCCTGAGAAGGTGTTTCCTTAACGCTTCCTTGAGAAACAGCTTGCACCGAAATTCTTGAAGTCGTTCTGCATATTCCTATAGCCAGCTTGCTACGGCTTGAGTGCACATGCACAACCTTTTGCTTTAATTTCAAAAAACTTCCGGAATCTTGCCACCTTTCTGCCTCTATAATTTTCAGCCAGAAGAAGGCCTCTCATGTTTCATTGTCGAGCGCGAGACAAACGGTTTGACTGTTGGGAGGAATTTGAATAAAACCGGAGTTAGAGCCACCTCCACATGCGAAGTTTCCCTGCAGAATGTTTTTGTAAGTGACAGAATTTAAAAATGTTCCCTATGCTTTTTCATTGTGCGGTATTTCCTTGGAGCAATGTTTTTCTGGCTGCGGTTCTATGATTCGCTTTGAAATATCTGCGCTGTTCGTCCATGCGTGCTTTGGGTATCACAAGCGTTTCCTGGTAGATGTGGTGTTTCTCCTTCCTTTCATTTTTTTTAGGTTCCGGAAAGTCAGGTGCTGGGTCCACTAGGCGGGTGGAAAGAATTGACTGAAAATATTCTAAGCGGCAACAAAATTGGTATGATCCCTGCGTAGTCCTTTACATTTTTCTGGCGGTTCCTCTCACATCTTTTCCGCGCATTCATTCCTCATCCCTTGGCCCTTACACTCTAGATCGTGAGCACCGGCAGTTGACATCATGAATTTTCGTGTTGATTTTACATTTTTCTCTGCGTCGCTCTGTATTCGTTCGTATTGGTCATTTGTTCCTTTTTTTTTCTTGCGGCTCACCTTAATGCCTCCTCTTTCCCCTGTTGTCCCTTCCTTTCTCAGCTATTGCTGCTCAGTTATTGGGGCTCGCAGAGGGTGCCTTTGACGCTGCTGTTCCGTTTTTGATTGAAAAAGAGAACGCAGAACAAAAACGACTGAAAGACTTCCAGGGGATTCGTTTCAGGGCTGCCGAGGTGATCACGCATCCAAATTAAAGTTGTTCAAGATGTATACCGATCAGTAATATATGTGATAAATGCACATTAGCCGTGCCAAGTACGCAGCTGAATAATACGGTTGCTTTCGTGGACTGTATGATGGAATTGAGAGCATGGTCCGCTTGTGCTTTTTAGTCGAAGCACAGAGATAAGTAATTCGGTTTTGTTTTCTACGTTGGTTTAAAAGTTGTCTTGGTACATTCCTTTTTTTATCCTTGTGCAATTTTGCGATTTGGTGTCATGTGCGCAGCTGGCGTCGGAGATAGAGTCTGTCCGCGCGCTGGTCTTAGCAGCTGCGTTGTTGAGATCCCGATCTTTATCTGTGAAGAAGGAAGCAGCAATTGCAAAGTACAAGGCATCATTAACGGCAGAGAAAGTGGCAAGCGCATGCATCGAGTTCTTCGGGGGTTTGGGTTGCAGCAAGGATTTTCCCGCGGAGAAATACTTGCGAGACGCTAAGATGGGGGCATTGTATGGAGGGACCAATAATCTACAGATGGAAACCATATTTGATTCGATTGAGGAGGAATACGTGTAGGAGTCCCATGTTTTACCTGTGAGCTATCTTGTTGCCTACTCATTTCTATTTTGTCGTGGGGATAATTAGCTAATTGGAAACTAACGCTGGTTCTGGTTAGAAGGGAAGGCGAGCAGTCTGTGTTCCTGTCTAGCTTTTTCCCCATTTCGCTCCTAGTATAAACTTGAAACAGTAGGAATCAAAGCCACATTCAACGCGTCATGTTTAGATTGATGGCCGAAAGAAACTTTTGCAAAGATTGAATAAATTTTACCATCGTTAGGCTATACCTAGCTGATGCTTTCTCTTTTGTCGAGAAGATCACACATCGCCCTTCTTCAGGCTTTCGAAGAAAACGATGTATGTCAACGAAAAAACATGATGACGATTCTAAAATCGAAAACGTGATTGTTGGCACTTTTTGCCGTGTGTCTGCACACTCTGCTGCAGAATTCAGCTGCATTCCAGTACAGCTTATAACAGGAAAGCTCTTGTTCATGCTGCTGAAAGAGGATGTAGAATCAGCTGCATGCTTCCCGCAAAGATAAATGGAGGTAGACCCGTCGCGATAGCAGAAAAATAGCAGAAGAAATACCAAATAGATGGGAACTGGGAAACACAAAGCATAGACAAACAAACAACTGTGCGTTATGTCTGCAACTGCTGGGGTGAGTGGGTGTCCGGTTGAACCAGGTAAACAGGCGATAAGGGCGGCAAGCCACGTGAATAGGAAACCTAGATGCAAATTAGCTTACTAGTGAGATAGAGAGGTACACAATGGCCGTTGAGAACAAGAGTGACAAGCTGCGGGCCAAGTGACTTTCTCGCAAAAGCTTCTTAAGAAAGCAACCATCTGGCAGATGAGGAGAGAGCGCCTGCCAGCCACTGAGACGAGACGCATTGGGAGACACACTTGGAAATGAACGGAAACTAAGCTGCAGGGAAGCCTTTGCTTGCTTTGTCCTGCATGCGAACATTTTCTTTCGCTTGAAGCCTACAGCAAACCAACACAACAATGGAAAAACTAGTTCATCGGCTTACTCAAAGGGCGGAAGAGGGAGCAGGTTTATGATGAACGCCATGTACTGCAGAAATATGAAGCTGCGACATAAAACGCAGTAAAAAGGTCGATCAGGACATTCACCCCAGTCCAAGCCCTTGGCTCTAGCTGCTGATTTGCTGAGATGGCACAAGACCCAACCGTCACAGTAGCTCAATCAATCCTTCCTGTGTCTGGGCCTGGTGAGTTTCTACACGTTCAAAAAAAAAAGCCGCAGGCATCACGCCTTTCCGTGCCCCTCTGGCGATTACTTTCAGTTTCAGCCTTGCAAACATATTCCCAACAAAACCGTTTGGGCTCCGCAAAAAAACGAAGTCCGATGGTAAAAAGATACCTCCATTCCCTCCGCACCATATGAAGCCGACGATTGGAAGAGGCAGAGAAGTGCCATGTAGGCTTGAGCTCGATAAATAGAGGTAGAGATGCACCATGCATGTTGCAACTACCGCGAGCAGAAAGTTTGCCAGAGGACCAGCTGAGCAAACAGCAGCCAAAGATGCAGAGAAAGCGGAGGAGCTCCGCATGCAGAAGGACGGCGAAAAGATACGGACATGGAGGGAATGGCGAATGACTAAAGTAAACAAAAACCAGTGACAGACATGGAACCCGACACAAAATTATTACAGCCAGAGAGAGAAACTGTTTGTAGAAAACAGTCCAAGGAGAGAACGAAATGGTATTTCAAAAAACGGGATTCCGCCCATGCGCTGCGTTCTCCTACCAGCCGAAATTATCGTTCTCCACCTGCCACTTATGGCGCTGCTATCCTGACGGCAGAGAACGAACAAATGCAGTGTGAAAAGAATTAGCTCAGTATGAAGAGAACACGAATGTTTTACCACGGATATGGGGTCTCAGCTTTAAGAGAACTCTAAAATCGACTGGCACTCTGCACTTCCTGCCGCTTCACTTGCAGTGTATGCCAAGGGAGGATGCATGATGCTCTCTTCAGGATGCCTTCCTTCGTTGCCCGTCATCCCTCTGTGCGCGAATGCATCTTTGGGCTAGCGACTTTTACTCGAAGAACACCAATGGAAACCCCATTACTGTGCATCAAGGGAGGAAAGCGCCCAAGCACACGCTGTCGCTTTCTCAAATACTCTTACATCTAGATATACTCTTCCTCCTGGAATGCTCAGACCACCGAAGACAATGAAGAACACGGCTATTGCTATATCCCCAAGCCCCATGTAGCGCATCAGGTCGCAGGTCAGGTAACCCTGTCGCACGCACACACGAACAAGGAAAAGTTAAACGAGAGAGACGGCGAACTAAAAGGAGAGGAAGGAGGCTAAATCCAGGAACAAGGTGGACATACAAACTTACGGATTCTGGGACTCCTTCGGCCCCTGCAGCGAAAGCAGCGACTGCATGTGAAAACTCATGAAGAGACAGACCAATGAGGCAGAGAAGTACAACGAAGACTGTTACGCAGACCTGACAGGAGCACAGATGAACACACAGATGTAGATGAGAGCATAACAAAGAAGTGACAGAACGGAGAAGAAATGGGACGGGCAGAAAGCGGGGAAGGGAGTATTCAAGTGCGTCCACTAGCATTGTGCGAAAGAAGAAACACCAGCCCGAAGCGCGAAACGAGGAGAGCAAGACACGAAGGGAAGAGGACAGAGGGAGATTTACAGGAGAAAGATGAGAGGGACAGAGCAAGAACCGAAAAAAGCTGCAGGCACGCGCTTGATTTTGTAGTCAGCAAAGCAGGGCAGTGTAGTCCTCAATCTCCCCCTTCCTCCTTTTCTCCCATCGATCCAGTAGTGCCTCTTTCTTGCTCTGGCTGTCCCTGAGCGCGAGCGTACTTTGGAAGCGAGGAAGTGTGCGGCGAGACATAACAGGATGCTGGAAAGAATTAACACCCAGAAGATCGGGGACAGGCCCAGGATTGGCGGCAGCCAAAGAATAGGCTCTCCTCCTTTTGTTGGTCTCTCCACAGAGGACTGGGGAAAGCAGCAGAATGGCTTTTTCACCAGAGCAACACATTGCTGAAGAGAGCACCATGATGAAGGACGCGGGGGAACCGATCCTGTTAGAGGCAGAGTGGCATCAAGGCGGCTCCTGGGGCCGGTCTCATTGGGCCAAATGATCCTGCAGAAAGGAAGGGATGAAGTGCAACATATGGCACTCTTGCCTTCTGAGTGATCAGCTCTCGATGCACACAGAGCAGAGCCGGTTTGTCTTTCATTCCCACTTCCCGGGGAAGTTGAAAATTTCCCAAGTCCCCCCAAGTTTTCTGGATTACAAGTTGACACTAAACGAATTTGAATGGAAACGTTTTATAACGACTACGATCAGAAAACGCACTCGCCTGACGCCGCTATCCGCGCCCCGGTGCCTTGTGGCTGCACCATCGATTCAATACAAGGAGATATTGCCGGAGCTCGAGCTAAATCGCAGTAAAAAGAACACCAATTTGCTGAGTAATAGGAAGAAAAATGGTCAACTGCACATGCATTTTGCCAATGAAGCGCTTGGGGCCCCGAGGAAAGCTGTTAACTGTCGGTTTCCATATCTTGCCTCGTAATTTTCTTATAATTAACCTTTTGAAGGCATTGACAGCCTTCTTTTGATTCAAGTGCTTGAGGGGCTTATTTCAATGTTTGCTGTCACCTTTTGTAGGGGAGGGAGTGCGAATGAACAACCTATTTCGGCCCCCCTCTTTCCTCACAAATGGTATATGCTGTGCAAGGCAAGGGAAAGACTGTAATCGCAGCTCATATTTTGAAATATGCCTATATGTGCTTGAGATTTCCGGCCGTCTCATTGCTCCTTCCTGTTCTTGGATCTGCCCTTATAGCATTTCCATGCTAGTATACGCAGTTGCGAAACGCGAATCCCCTACGGAATATCTGCGGCGCAGCCTTAAGACATGGGCTGTACATTCTCTTTCTATTAAATAGAAGGGGAATTCCGGTCTGTTGACGCATGCCATAACATAGAAAGACGTAGCTACAGTGGCCTAGGAGTGGCTGAACACTTCCTCATCGTAAGTGGGCTAACACGGCAACCAACAGAAATACAGCAAATACGATTCAATGCCACAAGCAGCCACCGAAACCTTAGCTGTATGAATGAAGGTGGCACGGCAAAAGATTGGAGCTTGTAACGCTTCATCAATGCTCTCCACAGGAAAGTATTTAATCACACTCTATGCAAACTGTACATGAAATTATTGAGTGCCTTATAAACGCTCCCTACTCCTCCTGCCCATGCCTCTAAGGCCCCGAAATAAGCGAGGAGGCTAGCTAAGGCCCTCGTAACTGCACCCTATAAGCACTTGGATCATTTAAGGCTGCTGCATATAGCGTCTAGCACATACGCACGCAACACAGCGTATTCTCGTATAGCGCGTACAGTAGTATAAAATAAATAAAATGTATGAGCAGACAAACCAACTAGTCAATTTCCTGCTGAGTCTTTGTTTGATTCAACAAGTACTAGGAAACTTTTAATGTAACAGCCCCTCCCTCCCTCCCTAGTCCCGGACGCCCGATCTCAAGAGGCACGTCCTCAGGCTCCGTATTTGCACGTCAAAAGTAACTGAATACACGACAGCGAAAGAGTTCCCCCTGTCGTAACTTTAGAAGCAGGAACGACCGAGAAAATAGCGCGGATGGAAAAAAAGTGGGCATCAGCTTTTACTCTGAACTCAACGGGAAGAGAGGTCCACATAGCACACGTACTAGCCTACAACGAACAAGAAACCAAACCAACAGCCCTATGGCGGGGCGAGTCCTCGATTGCGCCGGAGCGCCTAAAAGTGTGAGCCTTTTGCTATGAGAAAGCAGAAGGCAAGTAAAATATGTGAAGAGAATCGGATTGCACACTAGTTTGGCAGTATTTTCGTGCTTTTCATAGCTATGCCTAGGTTTAAATACAACCAGTACGCGGGGAATAGTCGACCACGAACCTTCAAAAAAGGCATGTTTATACAATATTACTCAGAGTGTCTGCGCATAAAAACGAGTGTAGAGAACACCTCAACAATAATACCTCATAACGCTGCATGCAGCATCGTGGATGAAGGTAACTATTTTGGGGCAGAACCTGCACGAGGTAAGACGAGTTACCGAAAGAATGCCTTTAAAACGTCTAGGGCCAGTAGAGTTGTTAAGCCGATCGCAGATTCTCCTGAAGGCAGCGAAGCCCGCAACTGTTCCCACGTTAGGCACTGAGCGTGGGGCTCCCCACCTTATTTCACTAGAGTATCCCTTGCAGTATGTCCTTGTCTCGTAGAAATCCTACAGACCAGCCCTTTTACGGCTTCCTGTGAATCCTCCACCCCATCAACGACACTTCCCTGCCTGGCACAGTCCGCGAATGATTTGAATAGTTTTAAAGCACCTTTTGGGGACCTGTATAGTTTTGTGGCAACTCCAATCTTGACGAAATCGATAGAGCAAGAAAGAGCATTGAGTCGTGAGAGGGTGGATTGTGATCCTGGCCATCGGCAGCAAACTTCTTCGTGCGGTCACATCACCTTCTGGTGCACTGCGTAAAGCTTGATGATACAGAACGACCAGATCTTCAGGTTCAAAACACATACCCGACCGCAGCTGATGAGAAGTCCATTCCAGTCTCTTTTGAGCTGCGCAATTATTTACATGCACTAGTCTAAGGATATATGTTGATTCCGGACCACCAATTCTAGGCTCGGATGTGAGAAGAGTTCCTTGGTGGATAGCCTTTTTGCGGGGGACCAATGAGTTTTCAAGTATACTGTCGAATTACAGACCCATTCAGCACAAGGAAGAATATCAAGCCAATCAATTGGATTTTTGTGAGCATTGAGCCACAGGTACTTCAGAGGTGTACCAATGATGCGCTCGATCTGTCTATCTGCCTGAAGGTGGTCTGCAATGGTCAGGTCTATGGTTAATGCCTGGGTGGAAATAGAGGCATGCCAGAACGCACTAACAAACCCTGGATCCCTATCCGTCATGAAATTTGTGGAGTATTTTCGAAGCTTTTAAGCACGTTTCATGGACTAACTGAGCACTTCCTAAAGCCGTGACAGCTGGAGCAAGGAATGAAATGCCCCTATTTGTGAATCTATGGACAACGACGTAGGTGGCACTCTGACCCTTGCCCTCGGGTAGTCCGACATTAAAGTTCACAACCAGCTTGGTCCATATCTTTTCAGGAGGTAGACTGCTTTATGAGAAGACGGGCTAACAAAAATGCGCTGCTTCAGCTGTCAACTATCTGGGCAGAACAGTGCAGACGCCTCTGCCGCAGGATGCGTCTCAGACCAGCAGATGGACCGTGAGAACTTTCCCACTATAGTGTGAGACCATGTTAGCCCGAAAACTCATATTAATGTGTTTTGGGGGAAACCAGCATTGTGGAACGAAGCTGAGATGTATAAGTGACGGAGTCCTTGCATTGTATCGAACCAGAGCACGCCATCCTCAAAGTTGTATTGTGCTTCACCCTTTCGGCATTCTGGATTTTGGCAGTAGTACCGGGTGAATGGATATCGAAAGCATATGAGTCGTTTCGCTACAAACGGTGAATCATTGCACAGGAGCCGTTGTGCGGTACCACAGTGAATCACTGGGAAGTCGCGAGGGTGCGTCGGCGACCACGTTAGTCATGCGCTGGGTATACTTCACTGTAAAGCCATACTGCAGTAGATGTTCAAGCCAGTGAACAACTCTGGCATTTTCAGAGTTCCAAAAACCCATTCCAAGGTAAATTTAGAGTTGTCGGTTCAGGCAGTAAAATGACGCCCAGATAGATTGCTCTAGCTTTTTTCGCCTTACACCTCACCGTCTAGAGTTCCTTTCTTTTCCGCTCAGCATATCGCTGCCCGCTCTCAGTGAAGCGATACGAATGACATGCAGAAATCTGGTATTTTGGACAACTCGTGCCCTGTTGGGGAACCACTAGCATTGATTGTTAGCAGAACGTGACACTCATAATCGGACAGGGCAAGTGCCGGGGCGTTGTGGGGCGGCCCATAAGCATGCTTACTGCAGCATCAGCTTCCTCGTCCAGGTCACAAATTGCATGTTGATAAGGAGAGCAGTTTAATGAAGATCGATTAGAACAACCGACAAATAGAATTCCGAAAATAAGATGCAAGGCCATGGAACTTCACAAGGTCCTTGCCGCTGAGTATACGTAAAGGCCACGCCCCGATTGCTTCAATTCTTTGCCAAGTCTGGCTCGCTCCTGGAGCTGAATCGCTGAATTCCAATAATACAATTATTTTCATAAAGACAATCGCTTGCGTGTTATGAACGGACCTGCTTATCCTATACTACCCGAAGCGCTCAGTCTAGGTGCTGTAGATGCTCCGGAACTTTTTGGTTATAAACTAGGGAGTCATCCAAGTCGATAACCATCCATACTCGCTCTATAAGCACATAAAGATCCTGATAAGCTCTATGTTGCAGTACAGATGAGGCAGTAGCAACTCCGAACAGTGTACACGGGTACTCGAGTTTTGCAAGTGGATGTGTAGATAGCCGTTTGGTGCGTGTTCTCTGGGTGAATGGGGAGCTGTAAGAACGCACATGCATAATCAAATGTTGAATAGACTGTTAATCCGCGTAATTTGTGAAGCGAGTTGCCAGTATACGACATAGGAGTTTTCTGCCTAGCAGTAAGTCTATTCAGGAGTCACATAGGTATCTTACATGCGTCACCTTCCGTCCGTTTGTGGCACCAATATTGGGTTATGCTTCAAAGGGCTGATCAATTCCTGCACCTTGCCTTTTTCAAAAGAATAACGCCTCTGCCTTTTGATCTCCTCTCCATGCAGTAAGGGCATCCACATCCATGGAACAGCTTGAGGCTGACCCGAAGATTAGCCCCATACGATGCACTGGACGGCAAGGAAGGCCAGCCTGCCGGCAGCTCGTCATCCTTTAACAAATTAACGAAATCCCCCTTTATATCTGGCTTACTCCTTCTGTTACTGGGTCGATTTAATCAAAGTTCTTAATGAGGGACTGGTTGTAGAGCCACTAAGACGAGACACATGCTTACAGTGTCGTCTCTTACTGATTACAGAGCCTCCCTCAGGCAGGCATGACTCACCTTGATGAAATACTGTGTTCTCCTCTCCCTCTATGGATGATATTAGCGTTGATAAGGAGACCAGAAGGTGTTTCATCGTTGCGCTTCCTGGCGCACACAGCTTCGCATCGCACATTTGTGGCCGCACACACGCCCTCCATTTGTTCGCGCATAGCAAATATACGACTACTTGATTGTGCACGGATCCGACGCAAAAGCCACTGACCATGATGACGATAGCTGCCCGATATTTAAGTGGCATGCAAAGGTCGCAACTTTGTCAATTCTTGGGTTATGCTCCCCGTCAGCAAATCTGAGTCGTAGGGACTGCGCTGCAGAGTGAATAAGCAAATTCACATTCTGCGCTGTCTCTTTGGAACACAGATTTACTTCACATTAAGTGTCAAGTAACGCTGAGAATCCTTGACCATTAATGCTCGAGTTCCTGGGTCTTTTGGATGCAGTTATAGTTCTGGCATATATGACTCAATTACCCCCCATAGAAGCAGATGCATTGCTGGAGGGCTGTCTGGGGCTGCTTTGTAACGCAGGTTTCCTGATGCCAACATTTGACTACTCCAGGATGTAAGCAAGGGCTAATTGACAGTTGTGACATCTATAGGCTCTATACACGAGCTCACATCTTACTTTAAAACCTACGACAGAGCAGTTCTGCTCATTCGCTCCTCGAGCCTAAAGTACTCCATCATTCGTAAAGCCCATTTAGTCGCTTATTTAGTCTATGAGTCGCTTCCTAACGTGTGACTAGCGGACTTGACAATTCGCGTAGACCTGGGACGAACCACTAGAACAGCATTTGTTCGTCTACGCTGTGCCCTGCCAACCAAAGCTTCATAGTTCTCGATATATCAGTATATTCATAGATGCTCCTGCTTCAGCTTGCCCAAAGCTTGCTGCATCACCGTGCTTCTCCCCCCATTAGGCATGTCACAAATAGCCTTTCTCTCTTTTAATCCGAGAAGGTGCGAAACAAGGTACATCTCCAGCCCGCTAGTAAAATCTTCAAGTGGTTGCCCACCCCTTGCGGGCGTCATACTTTCCTGTTTCGCAAGATCGCATCAATGCGTCCACACACATTATATGGGGTTACAAGTCATGCAGTTCCACCAGTTGCGGGGCTGCTGTCGTCTCAATACCTTGCAGGCTGTCGTGTGGAGCCCCAACACGCGTTATGCCGCCGTCAACTTTCATGGCAAGAAGATGCCTTTCCAGACGTCGCCAAACAAAAAACCAAGCTATCAAATAACAAACTAATTCATTAAAATTCGACGACGGTTAAAGGGAAATCTGGCACCTTATTGCATCCACAGCCAGTGGATGAGCAGGGAACAGCCGCATCGAGCCATGCGATGCTACCAACGATAACGATCCATCTGGGATTTCAGTAAGGAGACAAATAACTTCTGACTCAATACAAAATTTGTACAAATGTATTGAGTTTGGTCTCAAAAGGACATCATTCTTCCCTGTTCACGCCCCTCAGAGTTCGTGAAAAAGGGAGAGGGACAGCTAACGTACACGTAGCTGAGTCCTCCAAGCTTTCCTGGCATTCACAGCTAGCCGCACGTAGTGTCTAGCGCACATGCACACAACGCTACGTCTTGTTCATTGCAACGGAAACGAACCAAGCGGTCAATTCCTCACTAATTCTCATTTGATGTTACTAGTGTAGTAGGAAGTGAACAAGTGTAACTTAGTCCGTTATTGGGTAAAAAACATTCGAATTTCTTCGTATTTTGACCTTTCCGTTCTCCCCGATTCTTTTTCTTCCAATCTCTCCGGGCGTCTTTTGGCCAAGCATAAAACTAAACAGCATCCAGCCCTTATGACAGAACTTGCTGCAGGGAATGTTCCGTGTTGCAAAACCGCCTTTGCATCGCCAGATGAACAGGCACTCTTGGGGGAGGGCAGGGGGGAAACTCGTTGCCCCGTGTTTCTTCAGTGCGACTTCTGCTGCAGGATCTGAGGTGAGGGGCTTGCTGGAGTCCAAAAACTAGTGAGGCAGGCTAAATGAAGGGAAGAGCGACACGGAAGGGAAAGGAATGTTACTTTTAACACCGATGCTGGAACAATAAGGCTTGTCAGGGAGAAGGAACGCAGAAGAACGAGAGGGGGAAGGGTGAGTAGAGGGCGGCTGGAGACAACGAGCGCATGATAGATACTGCTCCCACTGCTGCGCGCTGTCCTTTAGATGCCTACACGGAGCAAATGGTGCTGCTGTTGCTTGCATTGGTGCTGCGGGTGCATGGAGTACCGCTGTTTCTTTTCCCGCACTTGTTGCTAGGAGTGCTGCTGCACGTGCTGCCTGTTCCTGCCGTGTCCAGTGAGCACTGATGAGGCTGCGGATCACTTCTTCTTCTTCAGGCACTTCGTATGGATCAGATTCTACATAAAATGACTTTAATGATAAGCAAACACGGGTTCTTTTGGGGGTTTCAAAGGAGGCACACGGCGACTTCAGCGACCGGTGGCCCTGGGGCCACTGGGCTCTTCCTCCCTCTCTCTTCCTTGTATGGCTCATCGTCCTTTTTGGAATGTTAGACAAGCCTCATAAATTTGTTTCCACGGATTTCTAGTAAATTAGTGATCAGTTGTCCTTTTAAGCGGTCCCCCAAATGCACAGGAAACTCGGCCTTAGGCGCAGTGACTGCGCTGAAGGTGCCACTGGGGCCATGCTGCTCCTAGACTCGTGCTACGTTGATTACGATGGGAAGATTAAATTGATTATCATAGAGCTGCATAAAATCCAAGGCTTGGAAAAAATCAAGGAAAATGCGGAAACGCTACAAGCACTGGCGGGCCCATTCAGGGGACCTCGAACGGTCGGCGGCCCCTAGCAGTAACACTTATGCGCTCCTCCCTCCTTTGGGATGCGCTCACCTCGTTTCCCTATGAATAGCAAGTTTAAATAACGCCCTACTTTCTTTGGCTCTCTTTTCTTGGGTGCACGCTGCTACCTTAGGGCTATGCCCGGAAGAGGGAACAGAGACTGACCGTTCTCTACATGCCTTTTCGGCGCCACTCTGACGGAGTGTATAGTCCTTGCGCTGGAGCAGCAGCTCAGAAAAGGAGCAAAGAATATTGTATTTCAAGATGCCTATGGGTCGACGGGCGAGGTTCACTGTTCAAGAGGAGGCCTCCATGGGGGATCTACGGTACAACGTGCCTCACCATGAATTCCCCGTGAAAGTCGTCAGTCTCTAATTGGTATGGCAAGTTGAGAGAAAGTAAGCACCTGTTTTTTCAATGGAGCTCTCTTTTCCCCTGACATCCTTTCTCCGGGTTCCGTCCCGAGGGGAGAATGGACAGCCAGGGTGCTGTAGAGTGCACAGAGCCACACTCGCTGAGTGTTCCGAGCATTCGCGCAGAGTTCTACACAGAAAATTATTCCACAGAACCAGGGCATAGACTTCTGTGGGATGGAGCAAGGTTAAGCCGCACCGTAACAATTTGGCCGTTAGGTCGAAGCAGTACTGCAGTCCATACTCAATTAAGTCTCCACTGTTAGTCAAGTTTTGCACTGATACCACCCGATAACGCCCTACGTGTAGCTTGGCCTTTTGGCATAAGTTGAAAAAGCGGGCAAAGTCTAGAGCCTGGTGGCTCGTTTACGAGCTGCTACCACTCCGGTTCCACCGAAAATACATGGCCCTAGCTCACCGAAGATACGAATCGCCGGGGGTGCAACCGGCCAGGTGTATCCTCAGATACATCTGAACACATTCGCACGCAGCTGCCTAATATGCGGGCAGACATTATGTATCTCCCTAGAAGGTGTGCTTTTAAGTTCTAGCAACGGCAAAATTGAAGAGCCAGCAGGTCCTTAAAGAATACAGAGAAAAACATTTCCATCCATCGATAAGAACTCACAGTGCTAATCTAATAGAAGCAGCGTGTCTGTTTGTTGAGGCTTGAGGGCCTCTAGGACTTGCTTGCCAGAACAACATGCTAGACGGTTAAATGGAGGCTTCTCGGCCGACTCTCTCCTGCGTGCGCAGGCGGATTGAAGAGCGGCTGCCTGGTTCCCTATTTCCTGGTTTGTCCGTAGTTGGCACACAGGAGCAAGATAGAGGCACTAAGAGGGAATCCCGAAGAGAGAGGCAGGTCGACACAGCGGGAGACACGACAAAGAGGCATGCCCTCTAGTGCTACAGGAAAACACTCTGCCCACGAGTCCTTCAGGTTCGGGAGCCTTCAAACATAGTCCACCCTTTGTTTAGTGTTGGTGCAATGCAGCTTGTACGCTGAATGCTTGCAGCAAGAAGAGGAACGACATGGAAGAGGTAGTGAATCGCCGAGGCACTCCTTCTCCCCCCGCCAGGCCCCCCTTAGGCTGGCTCCCATAAAAGGCTGCTTCAGAGCGAGCTCTTGTTCAGGGCTTACGCCAGCGCGCCATTTTTAGGATGCAGTGGCTGCAACGGTGCAGCTAGGGAGTAAGCTAGGCTTCCCTCTTTCCAGCGGTTCGTTTTCTGGGAAGTGTGCAATCTATGGCGTGAAAGTCGTTTCGTGTAGAGCTTTTTGTGCAGTGCAGCAAAATGCATGAGCTACAAGAGTTCGGGATATGGTGCCTCTACCTTCACTAGCATGAAGCCAGTGGCCGCCGCTTTCCCGCGGGGTTCTCTGTAAGAAGCATGTCTCTCTCTCTCTCTCGAGCAATATTTTCCGAATCTTCATGATAAAAGGCACTAGTATGCCAGCTAGCAGCTTTTCAGGGGGAGCGTGCGTGCGAGCACACCCTCCGAGACCACCCGGCCTCCCCGTATCCCAATATTTATGTTTCAGGGTGCCAGGCGTTTGCTTTCCCGCAAGTCGCATGCCTCCATTTCTTCTGCCTCTTCCATGAGTGGGAACCGCAGGATGGCTGCAATTCCTCCCAAGAGCGCAAGTTGCTCGCCAGTCGAATGTTGATCCGAGAACGTGAGAGTCTCCGCGCCTGCTGCCGCTGCCTTCTGCAGTAGCTGGACGTAGGATCGTCTCTGTCCCGGTTCAGGGCTCCGTAGCAGTGCCTCACTCACCATCAAGATCTGAATCGCTCCACACTCTGCAGCTCTACGCACTTCCTGAGGGCCATAGCAGACCAACGAGCTCTGCTCGAAGCTCCTGCTGCCGCTGCTACTAGACAGCAACAGCTGTTGCGGCTGTTGGGGATTCTTGTGGTATGAGTTGTTCAGCATTCTGTACAGCTGACTGATGCATGCTGCTTGCCTTAAGGCCCTTGTGTCTGCAAGCAGTTCCTGCACTTTGGGGTTGCTGAGCAGTTCGTTGAGGGCGTGGCGATAAGCTGATGATGCGTGTACTGTGAAGATAAGGTCTCGTTTCTGAAGCACTTGCTTTCTGCCTTGCTGCTGGGCATCCTGCAGCAAATACTCAAGAAACTGATCCTTGTAAAAGCCAGGGCCCCCAATCACAAGGGCTTTGAGGAGGCCCCAGTCCACATGGAGATAGAGTGCATCTGCCGTCTCCTTAAAGAAGCGCGAGAGGGCTTTGGCATACCCAGAATAGACATTTCGGTTCTTTGGAAGAGGCATCTCCACCAGTGCGAGGCGGCGTGAGAGTTGGCTGCTTACACACAGCAAATTCGCAAGGCCAGCCTGCAGCAGGAGCACGAGGGCCTCTGCCTTTCCCGCTGCATTCGTAGCCTCTTTCATTTGTTCCTCATGCTGCGCATCCCACTCCTCCTTTACCAGACACACCTCATCCGTAACTCCCACCTCCAGTGTGTGATGAGCGCTCATTTTGGCATACGGAGTCTCCTCACAGATGTGCCCGGAGATGCGGAGACGCGCTGAGGTCCCCTCAAACTCGCAGCTGCTGACTTTAATGGAGAGAGTAACTCGCTTCGCCTCCGATGCAACCCCACCACTGGCCGTCTCCTTTTGCACTTTACGAATAGTAGAAGCAGACACTTTGTCTCCTTGGGCAACGAAGTTATACAAAAACCAGACGTCGTCAGCCTCCTCAAGGAGGACACGCAAGCTGAGGCCGTCTCGCAAGCGCACTCGTTTAAGCACCCGCATCGCCGGAGGGCTTTCGAGATACGAACAGAGATATAGAAAAAGATAATACCATATAAGCAGGAGAGTAGGAGGGGGGCGCACAAACACACACACGCACTCCACGGTGGTGTTCTATATATACATATATATATATAATGGAGCTGTACGACGGCAAAAGGGGGCGAAAAAAGAGCACAGCAAGAGAAAGGCGGCGCTCTGAGTATGTGGGAAGAGTTCTTACGCCTGCCTAACAGAGAGGAAACAAAGAATAAAACATATACTCACACGCGCACTGGCGCAAACTGCCAGTTGCTGCATCTGCACCTGAGGCAGCTGTCGCATGCCTCTCTCCGAAGGCAGGCTCAAAGTCAGAAGCAAAATCGTGCATCTAAAGAGCATCCAGGCTGCCACATGATGCAGGCCGGAGGAAGGAATGGTAGCAGACTGATGAATTCAAAGCCCAGAAACAAGAAAAGGAGGAAGTGGGGAAATGCAGAGGACTCCGAGGCACTTAGGGACACACACCGTAAACACAAGCATGCGGTTTTTCGCTCCTTCAAATTGCATGGAAAGGAGGATTTCACAAAGCACGCGATAAACGGTAGCCGAGCGAAAGGTTTGGTGGAGGTTTAGGTGAGGGCATCACAAGAAAAATGTCCCACAGCATGCCAAGGTACCTAAAAATTGAAGTTCTGAATAATTATATGACTACTGGCAACGCAAGATAGGACAAGAATGCACGTTGACACCCCAAATCCGGGTACTTCTTGGAATAGGGAAAGCAGGAACCGATGAAGAAGCATCCCTCGCTACCCTAATTGATTGCATATCTGTGCTTCATGCCTTGTAATAGAGAGGGAAATACCAAAGTAATTGCCTGTTAGCACCCTGAAACTTGGCCCATCGGTTACTATCTTTTGGGCGAGGGGCCCCCGTGAACCTGGGGGCCCCCCGCCCAAAAGCTGAAGAGAGCGGTTTCATGGGAGAAGTCACACACCTGCACATTATTCCAAGTTTCTAAAAGCGTGGTTCTAGCAGTAACTGCATAACATTGCTCTATTTTTACCTCGCTCCTGTGTCTCCCGGAGTGCTGCAGCAGAGGTCGCAAACGAGCACAGTTGCCGATTCAGTTTCAGCGTCTCCACAATTCTGTACGGCCGACTATCAGCCTTGTATAAAAATCTAGAGAGAAGCCGCCCGGGCAGTTTTTGGCGACTCGTCCCTTGAGCACACCTTCCATACACCTCGCCCTATACTGATTTCAATGCCATTTTAATGAGTATGAGGTTGGGGAGCCTACGCGATGACCTTGCACAATCTGAATCCCTCCTGGTGTAGAGACAGTTCAATGCTGTCCCTTAATCTACGAATCCACCTTATGCACTCACGCAGCTACATCTTCCGTCCGCAGGCTCCACCGTGCACCCCAGACTCTGAAACACAAACCTTGGGCCTCAATCCTTACTCTGAAGCCTGCCCAAGGCGATTGCCACCTTTTAACCAGCTGTTTCGTGTGTCCCCTGTAGAGTGCATGTGACAGCTTTCAGAACTCGATGTGTGCGCCGTTAAAAAGTCTTACCCCCCGACTGTTCTGTCCAGTTTTTCTAGCCCTCTGGGCATCAAACAGACACAAAACAAGATCCCCACATCCCCCGACAGCTTTGCGACTTCGGAAGTGTCAAAACGATGGCAGGCAGCTTCTTCAGCTCCTCCACACCGCTTGCCTCTTCAGGCACTTCACACAAAACTGAAGGGGCAGCGAAGCCACGGGGAACGGGGAGCCCAGTGTGTGGATGCGGTATTGTATCAGTGCTGCGTCCTCCCGTCCCTGCATCACTAGAGGCAGCGTATGAGTAGACTCCAGAGTCTCTTGGCACCCCTGCAGCAGCAGCTTGCAGTGCGCCTTCCAGCTCCGCAGAAGAAAGCGGTTTGTGGCCCATTGCCTGAACACGGCCAAACACACAATACACACCACACGCTCCAGCTAGCATCTCCTGCCCCGCGCGGCTGGGGCCCCATGGGCCCCCCAGCCTTAGCAGTTTCCTGCTTGAGAGTGTCAAGAAGCACGCCTCAAGGAGGCAGAGAGCCCTCGTGGCTGCTAGCACACACAGGGGGCAGCAGTAGACCCCTACCCACCGCTTCTGTAAAGGCCCATGAGGGGCCAGCGGCTGAATCAATGGTGTAGAGAAATGAGTCTTTTAGCACCTAAGCGCAACAGGAGATGCTGCACATTGCTGCAGCCTGGAGGCAGGGTCACCTAGACAGGCCGATTTGTCTCCAAGGGCAGGAGCAGGGGGAGCAGGGGGAGGGTGAGAAGGAGGGGTGAAAAGAGAATCAGAGAAGAGCTTTTCGCAGTCCCAAGCGACCAGCAGCCTTTCCTGTCTTACAGGAGTTCCCAAGACGTTTAGCGCAAAAGTCTTCGGGGTGATCTGCAACTCGAAGTGCTCTTTGCGGATTCCAGGCTTTACGAGCAGAACCACTTCGAAGGCACTCTCAGTCTCTCGCCAGCCATACACAGAAGAGAGGCCTTCCATTCTGGGGCCTTCCTCGTAGCCTCCTGCATTGACTGTCTGCTTCATCCGGTGCTCGTTAAATCCGCGAGATCCAAGGATGCTCGGATCTTCTGGGAGCTGATCGCCCTCCAAATTCGCGAGATACTCTGCACACCCAAGAGGCACACGCGAAAAGAGAAGAACTCAAATATTATAACTTTTTTGCGGCTATCTTCGCTGCCTTCACTTTCGTCCGGGTCCTCACCAGCCTGGCGCTCCTTATGCGCCTGCGTCATGTTCCCCTCTAGATCTTCCCACAAGGGACTGCTGGGGTTGCTAGCCATCTCATCCTGCAGCATTACACAGGGGATGAGAGAGAGAGTGAGATACTCTCTCTACATTCATATCAGAGCTCCCCCCACATCATGTCGGCTCTCTTTGCGGAGGCTTAACGACCGCACGCATCGAGCACCTATCAGATTCTCCATACTTAAGCGTGATTGCTATCAAGTGTATTCCTATAAAGTCTTCTACCAGCTGAGGCGCCTACTGCCTCCCCCCTGCCAGTGCGTTCAGTGCGCTCGGATGGTCGCGGTAGCCTCGTCAGATTTCGACGAACAACGCACGTGGATGTTCTGCTTCAGCATGTCTGTTTTGGCCTCCACAACGTCGTGCAGGCTCTGCCCTTCGGGGATTATTTCGGTGGGAAATTGCTTTTGCAGATCCACATCAGGCCCAATGCTCCACCAGCGAGAGGCGCTCCCGTAAAAGCTGCAGAGGGTTAAATCCAGCCTGCGACAGCGAAGCCCCCAAGCGCAGCAGCAGCAGCGGTGCAAGAAACAGAACCTTGTCTCGCGAGATGCAAAGGCTGTAAAGCAGCTTTTGGGTTTGTGGGTCTTGTGGCGAACTGTGCGCTCGTTCGAAAGAAACACTCATATATGAGGCAGCGTGTACTCTGCAACGCGGCGGCTCGCAGTAGAATCATGCTGCTTCAGAGCATATCTCCGCAGAAAGGCCTTACATGAGCCATTCTTTCCCCGTGAGCTCTACAACGTCCTTCTCCGTGTACCGTGGCATGTGCTGCTGCTGCAGCTCCCGCAGGAGGCGCAGCTGCTGCTGTAGAGCCTTCTCCTGTTCCTTCTGCTCCGCGGTGAGCTTCGGGTTTAGTGGACTGGGGGGCCCCATGAGCTCCACGTCTTCTTTTGGGGGGTGCTGCAGATCCTTGGCGGCTGCCGTGGCATTGTAGGGGAAAATGAATTGGAAATCCTGTGGCAGACTGAGAGAAGGGTGCAGTAAGTACACTGCTCTCTCGTTGTGGCGCATTGTCATCAAAGCCTCACGGACTCCTCGAGCTGCGTTCGCCTGCGACAGACACGCACGGAATCTCCACACTCTCTCGATTCGAAGCTGCAGCTGCTCAGGAGGGGGTCGCTTGAAGTGCAAGTGGCCGCATAGTCTGAAGTGCGCAAAGAGGCCATTCGTTGAGGCGCAGCCTCACGACAGGGATCTCGACGAATTCCGCATGCATGTGGTGATTATCAAGCAGCTTAAGGCCATGCAAGGTATAGAGCGAGAAGTCTAAAGTGGCGTTGCATTCCAGGTGCGGTCGATCCTCCCCCTCTCCAGGAACCACTAGGCGCTTCAGCAGCTGAGGTCAAGAGACACAAGTCACAACTCCACAGAGCGTAGCGGCACGCAGCGGGAGAGTTTCGAGGCGCTGCAGTCAGTGGCAAGCCTCGCTCGCATCAGTTCGCGTAGTGGGGTAGTAGGGGGGCTAAAGGGGGTGCGGAGGAGGACCTTTCCGCCTTGCAGCAGCTGCCAGAGAGCTGGTGGGGGTGTCTTGGAGGCAAGCGGAGACTCTCCTTTCTTAGGAAGAGCCTCGGTAAGGCACAAAGAGTCCACGAATCTGTCTACGCTCGTCATAACATGTGGGTCTATTCCGCAGGCAGCAGCTGCTGCCGCTGCAGGCACGCCTGCAGCAAGTGCAGGAGAGCGAGGAGGGACCCCTGCTGCTCGCTGCTCGTCCTCGGCATTGGCTCTGCGTTGTTCATTCGCATGCAAAGGCTTGACATCCCTCAAGACTTTCCGGGTGTCTAGATCGCTCCTCAGGGGAAAAGCTTTTGACATGGCCGTGCCAACGAGAAGTCGCAAGGCGGCATGAGTGGTAAGGCCCTCATCGAGGGTTCCAGAGAAAGAGTAAGTAGCCGAGCTAATGCCCTTCGAATAGCGGCTATGAGGAGTTTTTCGAGCAGCTGCCGTAGGAGAAGGGGGGACGAGGAAGGCAGTCTGCGCTGCCCCCTTCTGCCAGCCGCTGGGGAGGGTTCTCTGAAGCCTGCCACGCAAGCAGCCCTGAGGTGTAGCCAGGGGAAGCGCGCAGGGTAGAGAGCAGCCTGAGGCCCCTATTTCTTTGCCTAGGAACTGCAGCAGCCAGACGAGAAGCACCGTTCGAGGGGATGCGCAGATTGGGGTGTACAGGGAACAGCAGGATGCCTTGCCCAGGGGCCCCCTTTGGAAGCCCTCACAGGGGATCTGCCGCAGCATAGCCTACTACAAGAAGGGTAAGGCCATTCCAGAGTACTTCTTATGTCAGCGTCTGCGAGGAACCCAATGTCTGCCCCTGTAGCGAAGGGGCAGGCAGACCGCTTGACGAGTTTGCACAAGTCACACCGGCACCCACCCACACAAACACACTCAAACACACACTGGGGTTGGAAGCGTGATGAGGGCTGATTGCTGGAAGGCAATTACGAGTCCACAGAAGGCGAGGGGCCCTGATGGAGCGGGAGACGGGGGCAAACGGAAGTGAGGCCCCTCAAAGGCAGGAGGGGCCCCCAGGTAAAAGGCTAACGCCTGGGCGCCAAGGGTCGATAGAAGAATCGCGATGATTCAAACAGCAGGGCAGCAAATATAAAGCGCAAAAACTAGTGTATCGACAGGTATTTCGTCAACACGATAGCGACAGGGGCCCTCGAGGGCCCCCTCTACCTGGAGGAACTGCAGGGCTGCAGCCACCGCATGTCCTACAAGCAGCTGCTGAGGAAACTTGCGACCTCTCCTTGTAAATCATGATTTTCTTTCGCGAAATATTTATCTTTGAAAGACTTTGGTGTCCTGGCGTCTCTGTTTGCCACTCTCTTGCTGCTACTGTATCTGCAGCAGGAGGGCCCCAGCTCTCCCACCGACCGCACCACCCCCCATCGGTTGGGGCCCCCTGCTGCTGCTTTTGAGTGGTATTCCCGTCAACCTTGCAATTTCTTCCCTTTTGGCATATTAATGCTCAATTGCTCTTGTGGGAGGCTGGCGGAAGCCTGCTAGGTGCCTCCAGCTGACTGCCCTCGGCTGCACCGGGTGTCTCCCCGTCTCGACAACAGGCAACACCCAACGAACAGAAGCAAGCGACGGAGTAACAAGCTTGCCGCTCTACGTTTGCGCTAGTTTGGCTGGAAGACAACGTGCAGGGTATGCGATTTAGGGCCTGGCAGGCCATGTGTGGACGCCTGCTTTAGCTCTCCCAGCATCCATCTGCACGATGGCTAGGCCGGTTACACAGCAGTCGCTGCAGCAGCATGAAGATGCGCAGCAGGCGAGTGTGCAGCAAGTTCAGCTGCTCCAGGCTCCCATGGACCTAACGCCACTGCAAACGCAGCAGCAACAGCACGCCTTCTACCCCGTCCCTTCTGCCCTTCCTCCTCCCCCGACCAATTCGGCCGCTGAATATCCAGTGTCTCCTTCACTGCAACAGACCTTCCAGGGGATGCTGCCTCCGGCAACTCCAGCATCTGGAGGGCCTCCCGGAGGCAGATCAGTTGCAACAACGCTTGCCCCCTTTTCAGGGAGCGGCATAACCCCCCAGCAACAGCCACAGCCGCAGCAGCAGCAGCACATGAACTTGTTATCCTACCAAAGACACGTATCCCCCTATTCGGCCTTCCCGCTCTCGGGCACGTTGCAGCAGCAGCTGCAGCACCTCCAGCAGCAGCAACAGCAGCAGCAGCAGCAACAGCAGCAGCAACAGCAGCAGCAACAGCAACAGCAACAGCAACAGCAACATCTCTCCATCTACGGCAACACAGGATCCCCCATGCGGCAAACTCGTGCAACTTCATTTTTTGCCAGTGAGGGAACGCTTGCGCTCCTAGGACCTCCCTGGCTCAGCAGCCACAATCATGGCAGCAGCAGCAGCAGCAGCAGCAGGATGACAGTCGATGAAGTGAAACGTGAGCTGCAGCGAAGGGGTATCGACTGCCCCGACTCTTTATGGAAAGATCCGCAGCCAGAAGAAGTGCAAGGCTTACTTTCTGTTGCCATAGAACTGCTACTCGGCATCTCCACGCAAAAGCTCAGACAAGAAGAGATGAGCGGTGACGTTAAAGTTCCTACTCCCGATAGGTAAGGCGCGCAGCAACACACTTTTCGAAAATTATCTCAACCACTCGCACTGAACGTCATTTACCGTTCCTGGGTACCACAACGCATGGCGCCCACCCCCCCTCCACCCCATCGTTCGCATACGCTGCATGCAACAGGAGCTCGTACATCGACACAACAAGCAGCACCGCGTATCAGTAGCCTTCACTCTTCAGGCTGCTGCCACTGCCCTAATCATGTGTTGTGCCTTGCAGTGTCGCTGCCCTTCCCTTGCCAATGTTCGTCTTCCTACACATTCATGTTTACATGTGCATATGTGCATATTTACCAATATTCTGTATATTTACATATATTTATATGCGTTTTACATATTTTAATATTTATTCATTTTAATACATCTGTGCATATGCAGTTATCCGCATCTACGTCTATACAAATACATCCATTTCTTTGCATCCATAACTCCATACTGTGTAGAGTCGGTGTAGGGTTGCAGCTAGCGGCTCCCATCACGCATGGCTGCTTCATCCTCGATTCTTCAGCGTGTTATGCATGTCCCTTTAGTCGGCCCTTTCTGACTTTAGAGGGGCGCACTCATCTAAAGGGGATCGGAAATCTGCGTTGGTTCAGACACTGCCAAAAGGTAGCCAAGTAAGTCCTTTAGGCCCTAGACTACGATTTTGAAGAGGGAGTTTCACCACGACCCCACTTTCCTTTCCGCGATGCTCTTTTCACTCTTTTTCACCGTGCTGCTATCTCCTCTGTGTCGGGTTGTTCTACTGCAAGCGACTGGCGCATCCTCTGCCCGTATGAAGAGCCAAACTCCCTTGTTTCTGGCGTGTTGCCTCTTTCCTCGTGTGCACTGCCAAAAAAAGACCCTCCACTGCCTCTCCTGCTACAGCTCCATCTCCTCTTGCCATCCCGTGTCTTTCGCTTCCCCTTCGCCGATTCGACGCTTTTTTCGTCTCTTGCGGAGCCTCTGCAGGGGTGTCTTGGGCCTATCGGATTTTAATAGAACGCACGTCTTCTCCCCGACTCCTCAAAGCGTCTTGCGACTAGGCGTCGCTCTCTGCTGCTTCCTCCGGCAGAGGGAGGCCGTGCAGTCGGAGGCTGGATCCTTAGCAGAAGCTTTGCAGCAAACGCAGCTCGCTGCAGCTCGCGCCGAGGAGGACGTGCGTCTTCTCCCCTTTGCAATGCATGTGCTTTCGCTGCGGTAGTGTGTTGCTTCTGCAGCGGGCAGGGGAAGGGAGAGAAGAGACAGAAAGGGGTATGCGTAATCGGTGTTTTCGTTGCTGGGGATGCAACAGCAGCAGGAGCGAATGCATACTTGTGCTTTTTTGCAGCTGCGACACACCGAGCAGCAGCTGCAGCGGATGACCTCTGAAAGAGATGCCCAACACCAACACGCCGTCAAACTTCGCAAAGAACAACAGGCTCTCAAAGCCTGTAAAACATTGTCTTCTGGGTGTTGTTGTTGCTGCTTTTGCTTCTGCTGCTGCTTCTTCGACGCCACCTAAGTTATGGTCGCTGATGCTTGCTGCACGCATGCATGCTTGCTTACTATTTTTATTGCATGTGTGCATGCATGCTTGCTTACTATTACTATTGCATACGTGCATGCATGCTTGCTTACTATTACTATTGCATACGTGCATGCATGCTTACTATTACTGTTGCATGCAAGCTTGTATGCTTGCTAACTATTACTACTGCATACGTGCATGCTTGCTTACTATTACTACTGCATACGTGCATGCATGCTTGCTGTCGCTGGTGCAGCCGTGTCTTCCCTCGAGGTGGAACTGACGAGTGCACAAGACAAGAGGGCCCTGCAGGAGAAGCAGCAGCACCGGCTGCAGCAGGAGCTGAGAGAGGCTGCTCAGGAGCTGACGCGCTTACAGCAGCAGCGAGAAGAATTCAAGGATCAGATAGTTCACAGCCCAAACAAGGTGAGAAAGTGTGCACCTTCCTGCCGCAGCTCTTTAATGCGCGAAGAACGCTCAGGGAGTGCCGCGCTCTCAGAAGGACTGCTCCTCTTGTAGCTCGCGACTTGCGCTTTTGTGCTGTGCGCTTCGGCAGTTGAAGCACAAGCGGCTGGAGCTGCAAGAAGAGCAGCAACGCCAAGACGGCAGACTGTTGCAGCTCGCTGCGCAGCGGCGGCAGCAGCAGCTGCTGCAGCAGCAGTTTGCGAGAGCTCTGAAGAAGGCTTTAAAAGCAGAGAAGCTTCTCAGTCACCACAAGGCCGCCCATCTGGAGGTGAGCGATGCGTTTAAGACGCGGAGAGACTCTTTCTTCTTGCAACCTGTTGCGACGTGTGCATGCAGTGGCAGGGCTTTGACTGTCCAATGAAGGGGAGAGATTGCGTCGCACCGTGCAACAGCAGAGTTTCCCTGCTGTCGCACTCTTTGGAATTGCGATGAGGGGGCGATGCGCTTTCTCAGCCGTGCGTGACAGCGCGACAAGAGCTGCGGTCCAACGAGAAGACGCAGAAGGAGCTGCAGCAGCGTCGGCAGCAGCTGCAGCAGCTGCTGCAGCAGCTGCAGCAAGAGTACCAAGAGCAGCAGCAGCTGCTGTTGCGCGAGGAGGAGGAGTGGGGAGTTCTCAGCCGGGAGATGCGGCAGCGCGTGCAGCTCGCCAAGGAGGAAGCAGACACATTTAGGGAGTCTCTTCCCTCTCAAAAGGTGAGCTGCTGCGGGGTGTCGTACGGCTGCCCTCTTGCTGCCGCTTTGACGCTGGGACTGCTGCTGCTGCTGCTCTCTCAGAAGGCGTGTGTTGATGTGCGTGGAAACTCGTCTGTCAACGCTACCACACCCTGTCAAAGCGACTCCGTTGCTGCGGCGTGAGGTCTGCAGGAAGCCATCAGCGCGTTGCAGCAGCAGCAGCAGCGCCTCCAGATATCCCTGCAGAGTCGACGCGAGCGGCATTCGAAACTCTTGAAAGCCATAGAGGCAGCACAGCAGCGGATAGGGGCCTCCTTTCGTCTGTACCTTTCCCAGCTGGAGACTCTCAGGTCCTAAACATCCTCCGTCTGCAAATTTTTGAGCGGCGCTGGCAGGGGAGCTTGCCGAGCGAGGCAGCGCGAAAGGCCGCCTGCAAACTCCACGCCTCAGAACTACCGCTTCAGAGTCTTACAAAGAAACGTGGAGCACTTAGCCTCGCTCTGCAAAGGGATCAGCGTCGCGACAGCTTGCTTGTTGAAGGCTGCGCTCGTGTTGTGTGCGTACAGGCTCTCTTTGCCTCCGCCAGTGCCTTTGGCGCAGAGCCTCGAAAACTTGGAAAACGAATGCCCCTTGCAGCAGCAGCAGCAAAAACTGGAGGATCAGCAGCTGGAGTTCTATTCCGAGGAGGAGGAGCAGCAGCTGCAGCTGCAGCAGCCAAGTGACGACGACGCACAACCTCGCCTCCACACTCAGCAGTCTTCCAAGCCTGTGGAATGCCAAATAGCTTGGCAAGCAGACAAACTCAACTGAATCCTTCTGCCTTTTCTTCCTTCTCGATTCTCGAAAAAACCTTTTTAAAAGAGGCTCCGTTTGGTGGGTTGCTAGGTTGTGGCAGGCCCCTCCCGTGCGCGTTGCCTGCTTTTGATTTGTGCTTGGTGCTGCCGCTGCTGGAGAGAAGCGCCCTCAAGCTCCGCCTGTCGCTTCTTCACGTTTCAGTGCACTCTGGCCTTCTGTGAAGGGAGAGCGCTCTCAAACCCTTTGCCAAACTCGAGCAGAAACTCACACAGGCGTCGAGGAAGGCCTCCTCGAGCGGCACAGCAGAAAGCCCTCCGGAGCATGCTGCTTACGCCCATAACTGTCAGGCTCTGGCACTCCGTGAATGCATGCATTCAACCCCCTCTAGAGGCAGCTGCTATGCGCGATCTAGGCGTCTTCTTCCCCCGCAGCACCCCCTCGAAATGTGCAGTCTCACCAACCCCTAAATTGTCTGACACTTATCGTTTTGTAGGGGTCCCCAAACCTAAAAGACCCTTTAAAATCGAGCGTCAGCGCGGCTAGCTCCTCGACGTAGGCTGTTTGTGCAGTCCACCACCTCCCCCGCTCTGTCTATGCGGCTCCTCTCGACCTCCTCCACTGAGGACGTCGAAACAGATGTCTGCAGCCTCCGCTTCTTGCCTGCTGCTGCTGCTCCTTGCGAGCTCACAAGCCTGACCGGTTAAAACTAACGAAACGACCCTCTGTTGGGCCAAAAACACGTATAGCTTGTCGGCTAGCTGTTTTCCGCCGCTCTTGGAGCAGCATTTTCAGCTGCCCAACGGCCCCTGGGGAAGCATTGCCGTACGAGCCTGTGTATGTGTATATGCATGTGGATGTGTACGAGTGGCTATGGCGGCATTTTCTTGGCGCCTTCCGAGGCAGCTCATGCGGCGCGAGCACCGCTTCTACAAGGCCCCCCTGGAGCTTCCCTAGGGATCTCTCACGGCCCACCTCCGATGTAAGCTAGCTGAACACCTAGCCAACGCAACGACACCCGTATCTGCGAGATACGGGGGAAGGTGTTGCGGGGGGGGAGGGGGGGATAGCGGATCCCCTAGAGGAGCGGCTAACTGTTCCTACACAGCTGCAGGCCTCCCTTCACAACGGGAGGTTTGCGAGGGGGGAGGGGGTGAAGGGCTTCTAAGCATGCCTGTTCAAACTGCCACGAAGAAAGGCCTCTCTCCGTATCGGCTCAACCCATCTTTGCCGGCGTGTGTCACAGCATAAATGACGTGACGCATGCAGAGCACACTGCAGAGGGGGTCCTCTTGGCGTCGCTCGCCTTTTGTCTCGGTCTGTCTGTCTCTCTTTTTCGTGAGCGGCCTTTCCGCGAATGCTTTTTCCTCCGCCTCCCCTAGTCCGCTACCAGCGCCAAGTTAACACTGATAGACTCCCGAAGATTCGCGCAAAAACAACGCGGCAGCACCCAACGTGCAGCGAATGGTCCTGTGGCCTCGTGGCACTCCCTCTTCAGCGCAACCGCCTCGTGCTGATCTTTACAGCTTCTCGCTTCGGGAAGAGCGCCTCAATGTCTTCATCGTCCTCCTGGCGCGCAGGAAAACCGAAATAAAGACGGTGCACCGCCTTCAAAAAGAGTCAATGCCCCTGCATTTTCCCCGAGAACTTACCCACGGAGAAAGAGCACCCGCAACAACGGCGAAAAGGCAGGCACCACTGCACTGCACGCCTCCTCCCCCTCCCCCCCTTCAAGAAACTTCCCAGGAACGCACCTCAGACTCGCTAGACTGCTCCTTAGGCCCCAACTCCCCACGAATCCACAGGCCCCAAGAAGCGACCTGCACAGGCACACGAAAGGCACGCAACCCAACGGCATGGTTGTGATATAAATATGTATACATTGAGAAATACATGTACAAATATATATATATATATATTGCGAGAAAGCACACCGTTGGTAGATAGAGAGAGGCGTCAACATGTCGCAAGGTACAGTGATAGGAAGGTTTCCAGCACCTGGAAAAGGGAATCGCTTGAACGCATGCAGAGAAGTGTGCCTCAGAACACAGTACGCCTTGCGAGTTGCGCGAGAAAAAAGGAAGTAAGATCCGAAACACTCCGTTCTAGATCAAGAAAAAAGGCCATGTATGTGTCGTGGGCCTTTGGATCCCAGCTGCCGTTTCGCTGGGGCCCCTAAATGCCGCGACGGAAAAAGCAACCTTTTCCCGTGTGTCTCTTTTCCGCGGGGTGTACATACACCAGGGGCACAGAGAGCGCCCTGCGCAACGAGCTGAAGAACAGCTCCCCACCCGCAGCCTCAGGCTCCACACGCCAACACTCCCACCTACCTGAAACATCACGGCAGTGCGTCCAGGGGTCTTGTCCTCGAAGTCTTCGAGCCACTGCACACAACAAACGGAGAAAAGGCGCAAACACGCAAGGCGTTGAGGCTCCGTGCAGCTAAAGGGGACAAATATCGTGCCCCTGCAGTCGGTCCCTCTCTAAGTTTATGGCAGCCACGCCTCCGAAAACTAAACAACCTGCACTCCTCTTATCTCCACAAAAGCCTACATTTTCGCTTCTAAATACGGAACCCTTTCTGCTCTATCGTTCTAATTTTTTCTGACTGGTGGATTACTAATGTGAGTATTGATTACTAATGTGAGTACTGATTACTAATGTGAGTATTGATTACTAATGTGAGTACTGATTACTAATGTGAGTACTGATTACTAATGTGAGTATGAATTACTAATGTGAGTATGAATTACTAATGTGAGTACTGATTACTAATGTGAGTACTGATTACTAATGTGAGTGCTGATTACTAATGTGAGTACTGATTACTAATGTGAGTATTAGATCCCCATCTAACTACGCAATTCTGCGATGCTGCATTGCGTCTAGTGGACCCTGAGTTGGCATTTCCCGCTTACGGCAACGAAGTCTTCCTGCGGAACGATCCTGTCCAACAAGAGCCAGTCGAAGACTGCCTCAATGAGCGTTGCGTTCGCAGAGAGGCGCGGACACTGCAAATCTGGGGAGCGCACACAAACAGCCGTCCTGCGCAACGTGAGCCTCGGCAAGACGCAAGGCGGGCATGCAAGCGGCAGCAGCAGGTGATGCTCGCAGCTCCGAGACAATACACCAGAAAAAGTGATTACAGAAGACAGCCACGAGACTGCGCAGGCGAAGCGGCGGCAACTCAGGAAAGGCCCCGTACACACAGCGCCAGCTGCTTCTCCTAAGAACACATCGCAACGGCCTTCATCAAAGAAACTCTTACCGTTCGTAAGGCGGCTAATCTGCCTCAGCAAGAGAACAGGAGCTCGAGTGGGGCCTTCAATGACACCCGACGCCTCTTCTATCAATTTCTTGGTGAGCACTGCGAGTGGCTGGGCCTTGTTGCGAAGCTCTTCGCTGTCTTTGGCCTTAAAACCAGCTCTGAGAACGAGTGCTACGCAGCACAAAGGCGCAGCCAGCGAGCCTCTGTCAGCCTCCGGCAGAATTCGCAGACACTCCTCGACCACCGCAGCGCTGGGAGACGTTCCCGACTGCAACAACGCCTCGGCACGAGACACGAAGGCTCCCATCGCTGCAGCGTCGCTGCACCGGAAGGCCTGCTGCTGCTGCTGCTGCTTCAGCTCCTGCTGCCGCTGCTTCTCCAGCAGCTGCTGGCGTCGCGCCTCTGCCATCTCCTGCTGCTTCCGCTCAACTGCCTCTGCTGCAGCGGCTAACTCGCGAGTTGCCGCAGCGCTGCTCAGGAGACGCCGAACCACGCTGCTGTCTTGCTGCTGCTGCTGTGGAGAGGCTTTTGCCGCGCCGCTCGCGTCCTTGCGCAGACATGGAGGCACATATTTGTTATCGCCAACTCCGCCTCTGCCCCCTCCTGCTGCTGCTCCTGCTGCTGCACTTCCCGCACCCCCGCCCCTAAGAGACGCAAGTCGAACAGGCTCCAAGACAACAGCTTCCTCTTTCAGGGGACTCTTGGGCGCCGCCGCAGACTCCCCCTCAGTACACGCATTACGTTTCCAGCGAGGCACAAACTTCTCGACGGAGTCAGCTCCCGTGGAAGGCAGGCCTGATGCTGGGCTTACAGGAGACTGCGCAGCAGCAGCGGCAGCGGCAGGCGCCACTGGCGAGCCTGCCGTTGCTGCTGTTGCTGCTCGTGCTGCTGCTGCTGACGTTCCTCCTTCACTGCTCGCCGCAGTAGGGCCCTCCACGGGGCCCCTCGCACATACACCCGAAGAATGCGCCGCTTTGGCTTTCTCCAGCGAGGTCCCCTTTGCAACGTCGTCACCATCGTCCTGCTGAGCCTTCTGCTGCTGCTGCTGAGCCTTCTGCTGCTGCTGAGCCTTCTGCTGCTGCTCTCTCGCTGCCGCGGCAGCAGAGACCTCCCGAGACTCCCCCGACTTTCTACAGACGGTGCTCGAGTTTCTGACGTGGGAATCGCCATCTGCCGCAGACACTGGCGCTGCTGCCGCTGCCTCTGCCGTCGAGTGCTGCTGCTGCTGAGCCTTCTGCTGCTTGAGCAAACTCCTAGCCTCGGAGAGACCCTCCGAGGGAGCAGCAACCGCCTCCTCAGTCGAGCTCTCCCGCTTGCTCGGAGGCAAGATTTCCCCCGAAACAACAGCCGCTACCAGCTCACGCAGACCGCGTGCTCGCTCGCGATCTGCACACACAAAAAGGCCCCATGAAGAGCCTTTTGACCCCGAAATCGACCGTCACGCAAAGCCTACACTCTCCAAAGCCACCCCCCCCCACCCCCGCACTGAAGGCGAAGCGCGTTCGCGCCCCCTGCACACACCCCTGCACGAGACATCCGTCCCAGTCAAGCCTCCCTCCTTCCTCTCCGCCCCCCTCCTCGCCGAGCGAGTAAATCGCCCTCCACACGCGCTTTTAGGCCCCAAACACTCACCAGGCTCTATCACCCGCTGCGCCTGCGGCTCCATGCCGCTGCGAATGCTGCTAAAAGAGACCTCCGTTTCCTCCCTAGGGGGGGGCCTCCTGGGGCCCCCACTGCGCGCCGTTGAAAAATCCACCTCCTCCTCCGCCTGCTGCAGGGGCATGCCGTCGAGACGTCTGCCTCCCTGCAACGTTCCGTTGCGCATAACGCCGCTGCCTGCCCCCCCCTCCGTCTTGAAATCCTTTCTAGAAGCACCGCTTCCACTCCTTATGAAAGAAAAATCCACAACCTCCTCTGCTTGCGGGCTGCGGGGCCTGGGAGCCGCCTTGCGCGGCTGCGTGCGCACCGTGGAAAAATCCACCTCCTCCTCCCGCCGCGCATCGCGAGAAAGGGGGCCCCCCCCCCCCCCCCCCCCCCCCCCCCCCCCCCCCCCCCCCCCCCCCCCCTCCCCCCCCCCCCCAACCCCCCACCCCCCCCCCCCCCACCCCCTCCCCCCCCCTCCCCCCCACCCCCCCCCACCACCACACCCCCCCCCCCCCCACCCTCCCTCCCCCCCCCCCCACACCCCCCCCCCAACCCCCCACCCCCCACCTCACACACCCCCCCACCACTCCACCCATCCACACCATCTCAGCCTCCAAC